GCAATCCTTCCTCCTCTTCTGAGTCTGTACTGCCGCGGCCTTCCTCTGTCGGCGTCGCTCTTTTTTCTGGTTCGTCGTCTTCTTCTGTCGCGGTCTCTAGTAGTTTGAGGGTTCCTGTCTTGCATCGGTGACCGCCAACCCACGGCTCTCCACATCAGAAACACTCCCGGTTGTCCTTCCGCCGTTATCGTTCCAGCTGAGCCGCGCTCGGACCACCGCCAACCTCTCTTTGTCCCCCTTCAGCAGGCTTTTGGGTCTACCCAAATAAGGGACGCTGGTTGCTCATGGTAGCTAATCCCCACCTATTGGAAACCAAACGGTTTGTCGTTTGGTGAGGGGAATGGAAGGGTGATACGTGGCCTACCCTTCCACGTGTTCCTTGAGCCTTCAACTTGTGTTCCAGCTGTAATCCCAATTGAATAGCCTCATGTACACTCCTTGGTTGCCACATCTGGACATCATCTTGCAATTCCTGGCTCAGTCCATTCAAAAAAATTCCCAGGGTGGTAGCCCGGTCCATTCCTCGAATTCGAGCCGACAACTCCTAAAACTGTTCTCCGTATTCCGCCACGGAGCCCCTTTGTCTTAGGCCCACCAATTGTTCTTGAACTGATCTAAATTCTCTAGGCCCAAAACGCTGCCCGAAGGAGAACTTCAACTCTTCCCAATCCATGCCCGGCTCTTCCTCCATGACCTACTCATAGTATTCCCAAGCCTTCTCGACGAGGAAATCCACAATCACTTGGACGCGAACATCAAGTCGGATCATATGGACCCGAAAGTACCGCTCCACCCGTCTCTCCTAGACCAGCCACCCCTCGCCATCAAAGGGCGGTAGATCCACACGAGGTGGACTCCCTCCAGTCCTCTGTCGATGAGGAAACGGGTTAGGGGGTTCGCCTCCAGCCCATGGCGGAAACTCCTCTCCAAACCGCCTTCGGTCACCCCTAACCTCCTAGCGCTCTGGACCGCACCTTCTTTCTGGGTTATATCGGCCTCTTGCCCAGGCTGTCGGCGGCTCTACTTCAGGTGCTGCCCCTCGAGGTCGCAGTCCATCTGTCCGTACCGTGTAGTGTGGCCGTCTTGCAGGAGGAACGCCGGTGGACGCCAAATCCCAAGGTTCACTCTGTCCTGCTCCCGTGGTGGCCTCATCCGCTTCTGCTGCAGGAGCGGAGACCGCCTCCTTTCCTCGTTCCTTCGACGAAGATGCTGGCAATTCGCGATTGAAACTCTCGAAGCTCTCCTTGACGAGATTAGTCACCAGCTGAGGTAAAGCCCTTGAGACACTCCTCCAATCGGTCTAACCCTATTAGCTTCTCTGTCAATTCGTCCAACTTCTTCTCTAATTCCTCCACGCGATCACCACGAGTTCCGCCCTTCGTCATTCTCTACTCTCCCAGATCGTAGGGGCTCTGATACCAAAACTTTTGAGACACCGAGTACCTGCAACAGAACAACACCACAGCTAGACTACTGAAGGAACCTCAACCAAAGGATCCAATTCATTAATTGTCACTGGAAACCACGAGCTCTGCTCGGCCAGTAAATAAAAACAATAAGCATTAGTTTTTCTCTCCATGTGCTCACTCTCACACAATCCTCTCCCTTAAAACTCCTGAGGCCGTTGTAACCTCCCTGCTCCCTAGGCACTATTCCCTAGATTAGCCTAACCGTCTATAGCCACCTCAGCAACCTTCCTCACGCACTCACATCCTTTCCCCAACCGAAAACGTTACGAGCTCCTCTAGAATACATCCGTTCATATATGTTCCGCCTAGGCTTGGGTGTAATCCTATATTGAATATCCTCTTCTATATCTCCTTCGTACTGCACTATAGACCCAAGGTACCTGAACTTCCTAGAAGCCTCAATCTCCACACCATCTAAAGAAATTTCATCACTCTGATCACTTGAGTTACTAAACCTACAATGCATGTATTCAGTTTTCATCATATTTAACTTAAATCCCTTCGTCTCGAGAGTCTGTCTTCACAGTTCTAACTTACGGTTAACTCCTTCCTATCTTCATTAACTAAAACTATATCGTCCGCAAAAAGCATACACCAAGGAACTCTATCTTGAATTTCTCGTCAGTTCATCCATCACGATGGTGAAAAGATAAGGAATAAGAGCAGATCCTTGATGAAGGCCGATCCGAATGGGGAACGTTGTCGTGTAGCCTCCAGTAGTTCTCACACTCGTAACCACCCCATCGTACATGTCCTTAATTACCTTGATATACCTCACATGCACTCCTCTCTTTTCTAGCACCCACCATAAAACTTCCATCGGCACCTTATCATATGCCTTTCCTAAATCTATAAAGACCATATGTAGGTCCGTCTTGGCTTCTCTGTACCTTTCCATCAGCATCCTAAGAAGAAAAATGGCTTACGTGGTTGATCTGCCTGGCATGAAGCCAAATTGGTTACCTGATGTGGAAGAATGTGTTTTACACGTGTATAGACTAAATTAGGAAAGTTTGAATATAATAGTTAGTTTTCCTGGAATTAGGTTGATTTGGTTAGTTTCCTTTTTTAGTGTGATATCCCACATATTATGGGATGTGATTGCCGTTTCTATAGGCTAGGGCTCCTATATATAAATCGGTTGTAATTGTCATGTAATATATAATTCCTTCAATTTTTCCTCTCAAATTTCCACATGGTATCAGCCTTAGGCTCTTTTTCTGGGAACGGAAACCCTAGCCTTCATCGCAGGGTTCTCTTTTCTTTTTCTGTCCTGTTGCCGAGGAGTTTTCTAAAACTACGAAATTGTACGTAACTGTACGGAACTGTACATATTTGTACGGAACTGCCCCTATTTCCTGCCCTACCGCCACTGCTGCCAAGAAGCTTTTGTAAGAGAGCACCTGAATTGTATCAGCCTTCATCGCTGATATTTTACTTGACTCAACCGGCCTTAATTGCCTTGGGACTGCTTGGTTTGATTGAGGATGTCGGAGGTGGCAGAAACAACAGCTACGATACAGTCGGAGGATGCAGAAATCGTTAGGCCTCAAGCCAGGGAATTGCAGAAAATTCATGCCGCATATAGGCTGAATGGAAAAAACTATCTTAAATGGTCCCAACTTGTCCGGACTGTGCTGAAAGGGAAAGGAAAAATCAGCCACATCTTAGGGACCGGGCCAAAACCGGAAGATCCACGATTTGGAGCGTGGGATGAGGAGGATTCGATGATCATGGCATGGCTACGGAACTCCATGAATCCGGAGATTAGCGATACCTGTATGTTCTTGGCCACTGCCAAGGATGTATGGGATGCAATTCAAGAAACGTACTCCAAGGCAAAGGATGCTACCCAAAGTCTACGAAGTCAAAGTTAAGACGATCGCTGCAAAACAAGGAGATAGGACTGTCACTAAATATGCCAATCAAATGAAGGTTTTGTGGCAAGAACTTGATCATTATAGGGTGATTAAGACCAAGTATCCCGATGATGCAGCAATTTTGAAGGAGTTTATTGAACAAGATAGAGTTTATGATTTCCTTGTTGGACTCAATCCAGAATTTGATTTAGTTAGAATTCAAATTCTTGGCAAACAGGAAGTTCCATGTTTCAATGAAGTGGTGGCACTCATCCGAGGAGAAGAAAGTAGAAGAGAATTGATGCTTGAACCAAAGGGGACTGACAGTTTGACTTTAGTTGCTAGCAACAGTAATAAGACAGCCACAAATGCAGAAAAAGTGCCGGCGGTCGAGAATGGGGGGATCAGCCAGCCAAAGACCCAAAACCGTGACTACAAAGACACTCTATGGTGTACCTACTGCAAGAAGGCACGTCATACTTGTGAGCGGTGTTAAAAATTGCATGGAAAACCACCAAGCCGCGAGTGGGGACAAAAAGGAGAGCAACCGAGGAACAATGGACGAGCCCAGATTGTAGCAGTGCAGCCGCATGAAGGGACATCACAAGAGATGGGAAATCTTAGCCAAGAAGAAATTGAGAGGGTGAGATCACTTATTGGCAATCTTGAAAAACCATCAGGTACTTGTTCACTGGCGTATTCAGGTAAACTTCCCTTCTCCATTGGATTAAATGTCTCAGATATAGCCTTTACCAGCTCCTGGATTATTGACTCGGGAGCTACCGACCATATGACCCATTCATCAAAAAAATTTCCTCATTGGCAAAATTCTGACGGAAATCGGCAAGATTCTGACGGACATTGGCAAAATTCTGATTCATCTCAGCCCTAAATTCACCGATTCTTTTCTCCACTGAAGCTTTGACTTGTTGAATCTCCTTCTCCACCGCCTCAAATCTCTCCTCCGTTTTCCTAGCCGCCATAATCACCCAAAAACGATGCTCTGATACCAAATTGATAAAGACTGTCGTTTGGAACAAAATCAAGAAAAGAATTGAAAGAAAGAAGAAAAGAATCACGGTAGACTTTATTGATTGTTGGAATGTACACTCCAATCGGCAGAACTTCGAGAGTATGCTTCCTCCCCTTACTTGGAATCTATCCAAGATTTGTACAAGTTTTCCTGTTAAGTTCTCGATCCCCCATACTATCCCCCTTGCCCCCCTTTTATACACTTTTCCTCTAACAAACTTTCTCAGTAAGCTACTAACTAATACTAACACTTCCACAGCAAGCTAGACGGCCTTTTCCCAAACCAGACCCCCCTTCCTAAACCTACTCTCCTAAACCTGTTTATTCCTCCTAACATGCACCTGCCTGAGTAAGGGCTTATCACCCTCCTTCCCCACGAAATCGTCATATAGCTCTATCTGAAAATGATTATGGCAACAGATGAAAAATTTCCTTTCTTTTTTTAGAATACAGTAAAAATATAGCAATTGCAAAATCTGATAGATCTTCTAGAGAGCAAGGATTTTTCAACCAACTCAATTTGTTGGGATCCCATGGAACTACCTTTTTTTCCTTTCATTTTTTCTTTTTCTTTCTTGTTTGGTTATAGAAGGGCAAGCATTTAATCTCTAATATTCTCTAGGCTAAGAAATTACTATACCTCCTTTCAAATGAGTCTCAAGAACTTCTCATGCTCTAGGCTGACTGACTGAAAGTAGTAGACAAAGAAAATAAGAGATTAGAAAATACTCTGACATAGAAGAAGAAAAGGCTTTGCCAACTTAAAAATAGATAACCACTTTTAATTCCTTACAGATGCTGAAGCCAAAACAGTCAATGCACGACTGAGCTCGCAAAGCTGTACTTTCTTGTCTAATGTTTTTGCTCTTGTCTGTTCCTGTGCTTCTCTGGTTGTAATAGTCATCTCTCCAAAGCCACATCCAGTTTTTTACTAAAAGATTGCTTCAACTTGGCCTGCTCTTTTTCCTCTTTCTCTTCCTCCTCCTTTAAAGAAGGAAAAAAAAATATTATCATTTAGAGCCGCTCACCAAAGTAGGAACACTAAGAAATAAGAAGAAAACACGCAAATAAAGTTTTAGATTATAGACTTCTCAAACGTTAGCAAACTCATTCCAGTAACACTCCTTTGCAGTCAGAAATTATCATTGTGCTTTATAAACTCTCATGAACATTTCCTATAGAAATCAAAATTAAGTTGTATCGACTATATGAGATAATGCAAAGCATAAGATCTATTTTCAAGTAAAACTTCTTAACAGAAATCTTATAATAACCTATCAATGTATAAAGCAAAAATTGAGAGAGAGAGAGAGAGAGGGTGGGGCTCTAAAAGACCAACGACCTACCACCCAGATCCAGTCGGCTTAACAAAAACTGTAATATGTTGTACTAATTCTCAAATTCCCACAAAGATGTTAGCGTGACAAAAAATAATTAAATAAAAAATAAAATGCGAACGCATAAACAGCCAACCTTGATCAGCTCTTCCTGCATTTCTAAAAACTCCAACTTTCTCCTGCATTCTGCAACGGGGTCTTCAGATGGCAAAGCAGTCACCCCAACATTATCCACAACCTCATCGGGGAGAGAGGAGAGTGTAGCTTGCAAGGCTACCTCTGGCTTCACCTTGCCATGCACCAAGAAAGCTCTGCAGAGGTTACCAGATATAGGAAAATTTTTGCATACAGCTCAATGTCCAGAAACATTGGGAAACAGATATGGCCAAAGAATACCTAGAAAGTATCAAGAGGGATGATGATAGGGAGCGAATAAGATATAAATCCAACCAATCATGCAACTGAAAAAAAAGAAATATTACATGCCTGAACAAGATGAATCTTTTCCTTTACCAATTATGCCCCCACCCCACCCATTAGAAAAAATAATTAAATTATTAAATAAAATAAAAATAACCATATTCACAGACACACACACACCCCCCACTTAAGAATGAGAAACTCATTTGCTTGTGGAGGAAATCATTTTAAAAAGAAATTCATCTCAATATTTTAGCAAGTAGCATCATAAATTGTGCATTAAAGAAAAGCCTGTTGAATAATCCAGTCGTTGATGATCTTTATGTGAAATAAATCATACAATGTCGGAACTTGGGAGTTTGCCAATCTAGTCAAAACAAATAAACTCGTGTAACAGCATAAAAATAGCAACAGTTCTCGTTCTTCTAGATCACTTCATACGGATATAAGCTTACGTTTCTGCGTTTCAAGAAAGGTTACAGCCAATCAAGCTTGAATGGCTTGTTGATATCCCAGATAGTGACTGGTAAGTAAAAGCTAACCTCATTAAAGATCATGTGAAATTACTACGAAAGCAAAAAGTTCCAAGTCATGAGTGAGGAATCCCATGCAGAATGTTTTAATTTAAAGAGATGGGTCGGTCTATCTTCAGTCAATGAACAAGATAAACAAAAATGTAGATTACGCACCAACCTCTTCCCGCATTTCCTCCACTGAACATGATCGAAGTATACCCCGTTCTCGACAGGCTAAGATAAGCTCTTTTTCTGAAAGGGACTCTATTCCCTCAGCTTGAATCATCTTATCATCATCCTTGATCCTGTCAAATAAAACCATGCAATTTTCTAAAAATAATAATATTAATAACAACAACAACAACAACAACAACAATAATAATAATAATAATAATAATAAATTCGAGGACTTTTTGGAAAATTATAAAAAACTACTGATATTAACCTCTTTTCCTCATCACTTGAATGCACAAAATAACAAAGCGAAAAAACAAATCTTCAAATATCATCACTTTTCAGCATGCAGGCAATTCAATTCTTAAAGCATGAAAGGCTTACTTTTTTAAATACAAAACAAATTTTATTGATGCTGAAAACAGTACAATAAAAGATTTCACAATAAAGCCTTACAATCTCATTAGATTTCAATATGAAGTTTTGTCTTGGTTTTTGTTGTTGTTTTTATTTTTATTGTTTTTATTTCTACTTCTTTTTTTTTTTTTTTTTTTTTTTTTTTTTTTTGGGTGCGTATGTCTAGCCTTCAAAGATTGTTCTGAAAGGCTTACCGTGATAAATAAAGTTACATAAGCTTTTCAACTTGGTTACCTTTTTTTTTTTTTTTGGTGGTGTGAAAAGAAACGAAGAAATTTTATTGAAGAAAAGATGAACGTACAATAGGAGGAAGAGCTTTCCTCGCAGAGACAAAAATCTGACAAAGAACTAGTAAAAAGGGCTACAAAAATGTGCCCAGCTCCTAACCGAATCTAAAAAGACTAGCCTGCCAAACTTTTTATCTCTATATACCTAGGTAGAGACCCAATACCTTGCTTCATCCCACAAAACACATTCTAACCAAATGCCCCCAAAAAACTACAGACATAGCAAACCTTCCACAAAATTTTCCCCTAAGACTAAGGCTAAGAGGAGGGAAAATTCAAGCAACTCCAAACAATTCCTAGGCGTTACCCATGAGAGCCAAACTCCGCCAACAGCAACGACCAGACTTGATGACAAAAGGAGCAATGTAAGAACAGTTGGCTATAAGATTCTACCTCCTCCATACTTAAAATGTACTGAGTGTTCAATTTACTAAGAATTAGGGGCCAACAAAAATTTGGAAATTTAGAATGAACGCTGGTTTTCCAAATCATGTAGTTAAATAAATTTAAAAAAAAAAAACGCAAGCCAAAAGATTCGGCTGTCGAGTGAAAAATAAGAAGTAACAACAAACAACCCATTTGTATCTAGAGCCCAAATCCTACTATCTTGGATCCCGCCACTCAGATGAAACCAATCCAAAATAGTTACTAACTATGAAGTCTCCCTAAATTCCCTTTCAATAAAGTTCCTAGAAAACTTAAAATCCCAAGATCGAGACTCACTTTCTCGTGAATTAGAAGTCGAAACAAAATCTAGAGCTTGCTTATTATGGAGAGGAGATAATCGATATGATGCCAGAAATTTCAAACTCAATGGCAATGCCATAATTGATTTCACTACACCAGACATCCTCTCGAAGTCTAATAATAAACTCATCCGAACCCACTTTCCATTTAACATGCTGCAAATACCTTTCTAAAACAGACTGAATCGATTTCAAGGGCATCTGAAAGTGACTCTAGAGGCTGGCCTAGAATCCCACTTGTTTGGTCAAATCCGTACTTCCCTTCAATGACTTTATGGCATAAAGATTCTCTTTTCAATCCACGACCATTTTGCTACGCGTGTATCATTTCTTCTAATATTACCAATTTCCAAATCCCCTAAACTTCTTTGGTCTACACACCTGCTCCCAAGATAATGATAGAGCCTTGACAGATTCTCTAACAATAGGTAAGAACAGAATTGAATAGAGAAGAAATTGAATGAAACTATATTGACAATTGCTGAGTGTTACAAACGAATTACGGAACTTCGAGGGTCCGTAGCCTCCCCTACTTGGAAATGTCTCCAAGATTTTCCCTTGAACAATCATTGATGGCCCATTTAGTTCGCTGATTCGAGTTTATAATTAGAGTTAAGATGTGACTTTATGTGAAAGCTTTTAACTGTAATAAAAAAGTTATATGTGACTGATTCTGAGAGCCTTTTACTGTAGTAAAACTCAAATCAGTGAAGTGAACAGGGCCTGAAATCTTCCCTCCTTTTTTAGTTCCCCTCCTCCCCCTTTTATTCCCTCCTACTGCTCTAATTGACAATCTTTCTTAACAAGCTAACTAACAACCTTTCTTAACAAGCTACTAACAATCTTTCTTAACAAGCTACCGAAACAATCTTTCTTATTAAGCTTTGTAACAACTCAAGTACTCACAAGCCTATACAATCACCCTACCCTTTCTTGACTCCTCTTATTCTTCCTAATGTACACTTGCCTGAGTAAAGGCTTATCAGATGGGTGGCATTGTCCTTGCAGTAACCTTTCCACAAGAAATCCCTCATACGTCTTTCAATCTTCCCTGCTAGTCCAACTGGCTGAAAATGGACAAATAATAAAACGGCAACAAGGATAGAACAGATTGCATGAGTGCGCCACCCCCTTTTGACAAATAAGGTTTTTTCCAACTGTCCAATCTCTCCACAGTTCTAGACAACAATGGCTACCAAAAGTTCTGCTACAAGAGATTCCAACCGAGTGGTAAACCCAAATATTTAACTAGCCAAGAACTTACTGCACAGCAAACAACTTCCGCCAAACTAGGCAACCTATCTTCCTCCAAGTTCATGCCCAAAATTTCTATCCAAATTAACCTTTAAACCAGAGATTAAACAGAAAAGACCCACTATAACAGCAAGATTAGATAGAGGGAACTATCAAAATTATTTGAAAAAGCCTATAACCACGTAGAGTGGAAGATTTTCAATGAAAGGGAGGTGTAACATTCTCTTCAAAGCACAAAATCAGGAGATCCAACATCCAAACCAGTTGGTTGTAGTATGTGAACAAAACTTTATCTTTTAGCTCACTGGAGGAGGAGAGTATCAACTTTTAACTTCTATTCTAAATTCTTTTTTTTTTTTTGTTTAATTCCCGATTTGAAGATAAATTTGGATAAAAGCCTTATTTTTATTAAAATTTGGATGAAAATAGGTTGTCCACATTGCCAGGCGTTATTGGTTGATGGTTATGCAACAAGTGTCTGGCCAGTCAAATATTTGAGGTTGTGAGTAGGAGGAAACCCACTGCTGTTAGATTTTTAGGAGTCAGTGCTATCCAAAGTCATGAAAAGGTCAAATGGGTGGAAGAAAGCTTTCTTATTGAAAGCAGGGAGGATAGCTCTCATCCAGTTTGTTCTGTCGTCTTTGTTGGTTTATTATATGTCCATTTTAAAATTTCCAATTGGAGTGGTAAGGGAGATAGAAAAGCTAATGAGGGACCTTTCTTGGAAGGGATACTCAGAGGACAACACCACTCACCTTGTGGCTTAGGAGTACGTGTGTAGACCAAAAGAAGTCGAGGAGTTTGGTGATTGGTAATATTAGAAAATGCTCTTTTCAGAAAATGGCTATGGAGATTCCTATTTGAGAAAGAATCATTATAGTACAAACTACAAAGTGATTGTAGGGACATATGGGTTAAATTCAAATAAATGGGACTTCAGGGAAGCCACTAGAGTCAGTTTTAGATGCCTGTAGGAAAGTGGCCAGTCCGCTGCAAGAGGTTTTTTCCAAGTAAAGCAAAAGGAGGGTATGAGGGAGACCGTCAAATTTTGGGAGGATGTTTGGTGTGAGGAAATGTTATTGAGTGCAATGTTACTGACATTATATAGACTTCCGTCTCTCATTTTCAGCCAATTTTGAACTTTACTTTGGTTGCTAATCAACGGGCAAGACGATTGGACTTGGGATTTTAAGTTCGCAAGAATCTAACCGACAGTGAGTTTGGGGAGGTTTAAGAGTTAATTTCTTTTTTGGAGAGGGTTAACCTAAAAAAAGGGGTTTAGGATAGAAGGGATTGGATTCTAGATACAAGAGACTTGCTTTCTGTTAAGTCCTATTTTCCTTTCTTGAGAGCTGAACTTCCAATCTTGCCTTTCATTTTCTTTAAAAGCAATTGGAAAATCCTTGTTCCTTGTTGGAAGTCGGACTAATTTGTGTTTCCTAGTTTACTCTATTTTTGTGAAAATAATCTGCATTCATTTGTATACAGCTAGTTAAGACTAGTTTCCTAAATTACCTACGATTCTTGACCTTTTATAGTTATCATAATCACTGATCTACAGTGTATATATTTGATGTATTGTCAACTGATGCTAGACCAGTTGATACGGGTGGGGTGGATTGGGGATTTAAGTCCCATGCTCGAATCCTGAGAGCAGCCAGCAATGTATTGGGAAAAAATATGAGAACACACACACACACACATATATGATGTAATATGTTATTCAAAGTGGGAAATCTAAAAGTATTCAATATTTTTCTAGATGGTGCCAAAAGGAAGCTAGAAAACACCCTAAGAATTCCAGTCGAACGTAGGAGAGCTACTGCCTTGATTGTGTAATGGATAATATAATTGTGACAGGTGATAATCTAGATGAAAGGAACTTCCTCAAGAAGAAATTAGCCTCTGAATTTGGAATTAAGCAACTTGTAAAGTATTCTTGCGGATTGAGGTAACACATTCGGCTAAAGGCATTTTTGTGTCACAAAAAAAAGTATGTGCTTGATCTTCTCAAATAAACTAGGATGCTTGGAAGCATACTAGTTGATACTCCCATGTAACCTACCATAACCTTGGTGAAAGTGGAGAAGTTGAGAAGGGTTTGGTATTGAAGGCTAGTTAGGCCAATACCAATGCTGATTAGGTAGGGTCTATCACAGATAGAAGGTCCAGATCAGTTTATTGCACTATTCCTGGAGGAAACTTGCAATACGGAGAAGAAAGAAACAGACAATTGTGGCAAAAGATCTACGGCAAAGGCTGAATTTTAGGCAATGGCTCTTGGTATCAACAAATTATTGTGGCCAACAATTATCCTAGAGGATCTAAGGGTCAAGTGGCATGGACAAATGAGATTGTGCTGCGACGATAAATAAACAACATTGCACGGAATCCAATCCAGCGTGACTGAACAAAGCATGTTGAAGTGATAGACATGTCATCAAACAAAAACTTGATAATGGATTGATTTGTACACTGTCTTTACAAACGATCAACTTACAAATACATATATACATGCACATACATATGTATATATTTGTTTTGATATATATATACACACACACATATATTGCAAACATCCCCTTTTTCTTTTCTATTTCAATTTCTGGATTATTATATGACGATTTTTGTTGTGTGGGAAAATGTGACGGACACATGGACGAACGATAATGCGACACGTGGCCTTGACTACTATCCGCCAAGCAACAACCCTCGACGTCTATGGCTCCCTCCTATTCCGCTGGAAAACCCAAAGCACGAAGTCCAAATTAGGGCGACGATTCCTTCTGGCGTCGACTGATCGTGCCTTCGAGATTAAGGCACGAAGATCCCTCGACCGCAGAAAGGACCGCCAAAGAGGGCGATTGGGCTAAGCAACGCTGACGACGAGGGGAACTTTTTTTAGAGGACGTGACGGGTTGCGTGCAAAAGTGGAAGACGTCTGCAGGCATTAATTGCAAGCTCTCGAACCGCCCCACAGGGGACAGAAAAGTATTACGGAGAAACACAGAGCCGTAATAGGAGACTAATTGGCTGAGTGAACAGTGCTGATTAGTGGGCTACGTCTGGGCCTATCAAGGAAGAGCACTTGAGTGCTTTCACCTATGAAGGAAACCCCCTAAGCGAAAGAAGCCCAGTATAAAAGGAGGAAGACCCCCAGTAAGGAAGGGGTTCGGAGATTCCAAAAAAGAGAAAAGAGATTTAATGAGAGCAATTGTTGTAGATTGTTATCTTCTCAAAAGAAATACAAAATCACAGTGGATGTAGCTCTCATTTTATAGAGTGAACCACTATAAAATTCCTTGTGTTGTTTGTCTATGCATGATTTAGTTAACACACAAGCACATATATTTAACAAATCCTCATACGTTCACTACGCACACGGCCGGTAATCCCAAGGGATACCAAGAGGTAACACGGCCAGTTTTTGTTGACGAAATTTGACCATCAACAATTTTTTTAACTTTCCATATATAGAAATAGAAAGAGATAGACTAGAAACAACATCCCTTATAAAAGAGAGATATAAAGAGAGGTATAGTCTTTTTGTTTGTATTTTTTTTTTTTTACTTGATTATCATATCAACGTTAATTAATTAGATTTATATGGCATAGCAAATTTTATAGATATGGAATTTGAATGAGGATAGAAAAGGACCAATAAAATAAATATGAATTATTTGATATTGTACGGAGAAATTGTAGGACTCCTGAGGAGTGCAAGGAAGATAGTTTCAGCATATGGGACAAAGTAAAAGACCGGGTTTCTTTGCAGAAATATCGATATAAAAGTCAGCCAGTCGGATTTCCTCAGATTTAGATAGGACATGGCCACCCTTTCTGTAGCCTATCTCCAGTTTTGGTCAGGTCCTTGAGGAAACTTCGTCCTCAAATCATGTACTTAGTTTTTGACCATTAATATACTCCGTTTCTTGTTTTTTTTTTTTTTTTTAAAAAAAGTATGATGATCAGCTCAATCAAAGAGTAAACTAAAAATAGGAAAAGAAAAAAACTCGTACCATCGCAGTCTTTTTCGAAGCATATAACGCAAAAACACATATGTTCCATATGCGCTAATACCCATACATTTGCACATATTTACTAACCGTGGCCTGTATGCAAAAACCAAAAAAGCAAGTTTGTCAGACAACAATGTGATAGGACCTGGTTCAAATCAAATCGCACATACAGCAAACAAGGGAATTTGATCGATCGAGGGAACTAAATTAGAAGTTCTATTAGCAATTAAAGAAATACAAGTGGATATGAGGGTATTCGAGTGGCCCCTTGCACTCCCTAGAGCAGAAGCTCGACTGAGTACAAAATATCATGATAATGATCGATACCACTCACAGAGCTCTCCCTCTTCTTTTATTCCCTCATTCCCTAACTAACCAACTAACTTGAATCCTGAAGCAGTCACGCCTTTCCCACACTGCAGCCCCCAATCACAGTGTCCATCTCAGCCAGCTCAGCCCCCCTAATGACCTCAGCACTTTCAGCACTGTCACTTGCCAACTCAACAGCTCCCTCATTGTTTTCAGTAGTGGTCAGCTTATTTCCCCCCTCCTTCTCTCCTATCTTCCCCATTCTCTTCCTACGGGCATAAGTGAAGCGCAAAGGAGGCCTATCACAATGTAAAATCACTTGGGCAGGTAAAGTCCCAACAGCAAAGACAAAACAAGCTCCCAACAATTTAAATTAAATAATAGAAAAATACAACCTGCTGATGTTATCTAAAGTAAGTTCATCACTAAACAACTTGGCAAAGCCTAAAATGTCATCATTAGAAACATGCTCACCGTTTCTAACCTGTCAAGTAGCAGAATAAAACCAAGCATTAATATGGCAAAACATGAAAGAAAAGAAGTGCCTTCTCTTTATGAAAGGGAAAAAAAGTATTAAAACCGACCTTGTTCATAAATTCATCAAGATCTTTTGCTGTCTTTCTAACTTCTCCACTTCGTGAGGTTTGGATTTCAGTCGCCATTTCTATTACTGTATCTTGAAGAAACTCTGCATACTTTATTCTTGCATGTAGCTTTCTTTTCAACTCCTCCTACAGTTTATGCATTTTGAAGGATATAAATTTGATGTAGGACAGTTTGAATCCAATTAGGATTTTATTTTGTTTGCTCTCTATTTCTATTAGGATTTATTTTTATTGTCAGAATTAGATTAGGATTCCAATATTTATTTGTTTTCTACCTAGATAGAATTCCTAAATATGCCAGAATTAAAATAATGATTAATTATGTTTTTAAATTCAGCTTTTATGCATTATTATTGATAAATGTCAGAGCTGTTTTATAGCAATTCCAACCCTGAATCCTTGAAAGAGTCCAAATTTCATATTTTTCCTTATCCAAAACATTAAAATCTTCTCGCTAGATAAACAGAACGTGCTATTAGCAACAAAAAAGGGGATGAGTTGAACTCGAAAACAAAAGGATATACAAGTGTAGAAACAAAAGAGTATGGGTTGCAGCATATATTCAAATATTATGGCTTGAAGGCAAACGTTTTTCGAAACTTGAGCAAAATAAGAGTCTTTGTTTTTAATAAAAAATTTGTTTCTTTGATAAATTAATCAATTACAAATGTATGATAAACTTGTGCAATGAGATCAAAGTTAAACTTTGTCAATTTACCAACTCTCCCGAGAGCTTAAGCTCTTACGAAGAGGGCCAACAACAGTTTTGTATTCTAACACTTTGTGATAGCCATCATTCCCTTGACCAAAAAAGGGCCAAGATAAGGTAAGTTGTGCAATCTCACATCACGTGGGATGGTCATAAGTGATAGTTTGTAAGGAATGACACCATGCCCCAATGGTATGAGGCGCCCAAGTGCAAAACCCTGTGGAATTGGGCCCAAAATAGACATTATCATACTAGTTGGAAGTGCGGGTCGTTACACACTGCCCCTCACGTGTGGGTTAGACAATGGACAATTGTGTGAGTAAGTATCAATGAGAAGGCCCAACATGTAAATACTCAATAACATCGAAACATATTTTCCCCTAATGGATTTCTCATCAATCCAAAAAACTTTATTGCACAGGTTTATATATTAATGAAGTTCTCAGTTTCCAATAATTTAAATATTGAAATCTTCACTCTCCTCTAATAGTAAAATGATAAGAATTGAGTAAAAGCAATAGGATGTAGCTTGTAAGTTTCTAATGGTTGTCAACACGTACCAGCTCTTTCATCTCGTCCCTAAGGTTGACAGCAACAACTTTGGGAAGAATTTAAGTATTACTGGCAACAAGAGTTCCGTGAATGGAAGTATAATAAAAGCAGCTAATGGACTAGTTTGAAAATATCAACTATGGTGCATTTGAGCTGTTGCATCTCCCTTCTTGAAAGACTCTTGCCACTAACAAGCTTCAACAACAACCTTGAGCTGATCCTAACATGAACACAAAGGAGTTTTGTACCCAACCAATAGTGCTGCATTGTTGATTTAAATTCATCCTTCCAATAACAAAGCTTCCACACCCATTCCTCCCTGAAATATGATATGGTTACTATATACTTCTAACGAGATCAATAACAACAACATGAGGAGAAAACCATTCCTCCCTGAAATATAACCATTCCTCCCTGAAATATGATATGGTTATTATATGTATCTAACGAGATCAATAACAACAAAATGAGGAGAAAATTCCCAAACCTGCTTATAGAAGCAACAACTTTTAGAGAAATACCAGTCCCCAAAAGCTTGGGCCAAATTCTCGTCATTACAGATTTATCACAATTTGGAGATTCATGCATCTACTTAGCCTTTGCTTTTGCTTTAACTGTACTCAAACCTTCAACTGCTTAATCACATTCATGGCATGAAGGTTCCTTTTCCTTTCCAAAGACCTGTTGTATATCTCTTTGATCACCGCTCCCAAATTCAGGTTGACGAGCTACTGTTGTCGAAGTATAGCGCATAAATTACAAAGCCCATGCAACTCTGGGAAAAGAAACAAAATCTGCCCTTCCAACTTGATTTTCAAAAGTTTTTTCTGTAAGCAAGTTATGCTTGAAAATTCTACAACTCTAAGATCCAAACGATCAATCCAAAGAGCTGAAGTCGCATCTTTATCACTTCTATTATCAATATATGGTTATAGTTGGCTTACAAGCAAGTTTGCACTTTTTAATTCATTAGATCGGGATAGTTGCTCGCGCTCAAAAATAGAGGAACCCCGAATCAAGCAAAATGGTTGCTTTAGGGAATTTAAGATGCATGCCTTTCTTCTCAAGATTGCTCGTGAAGCCATCATCTTCTATAATGAGAAAAATGAATGCAACTCTCAAGAAACCGCTCAATTTAGCCAATCTGTGAGCTATTTAAGGCAAAGCAAGCTCAACAAATGAAAATGAGATTTATGAGATAACACATGTGATCAATCCGTAATACATAAAAACATGTTCTTCATCCACAAATATTTCCCAAAATTATACCCATGAGTTTTTTTCAACAATTTCCACCCAAATCAACCCCTTTAAACTTTTGTTGTCCAGTACATCAAACCGTCGGCTTGTTTACCACACCAAGTAATGTCCTCGACAATATCTAATTGGTTACAAAGGAAAGAGGACAAGTGGCCTCTAGAATAACAAAACAGAAACAGTGAAGAAAACAACATGAACATACTACAAACAATAACAATAAAAATAAAACCATTAAAGAAAAGAAAAACCAGATACATCACACCAAATCATCCCATTACATCTTTCCAATTCAAAAGAATTAAAAAAAAAAAAAAAAGGAAAGTCCTCATAATAATCAAACTAATGTCTAATCAAGCAATATATGCATAGCATCATTTACTAATTACATCCTGACAAGCCAATTTGGGATTCAAAATGTCGTGCCCATTAGCATTATTCATAACCGTATAAATGAAAAGTTTATTGACCACAAAATGATAAGTTTCAAATTCATCTAGAAGTGGTATATTTACAAAACCGTACAAATGCAAAAACAAATTTTCTGTCCGTCTTTTTTTTTCTATACGTTTTTTTATTTTTTATTCCTATGAACAACAAATTAACAAGCCTATTGCATTTTTTTTTCAAGCACATTTTATTTCATCTATATAGATATCGCTGTTATTAGGATTCATGATTTCACCAAACAACAGAGCGAATTCAAGCAAAAATACCGCAAAATCCACTAATCAAAATACGAACAGAAAATGCTCAAAAGCGAATCAAAAGCACGGAGATGAATTGGTCAAGAGGAAAACGAATCAGAAACCAAAAAAACAATTCGCATTAAAAAAAAGGAAATTTTGATTTTGAGGTTCATATCAGAGAAATAAGGTTACGATGCTTACGCTTCTAAACTCGTCGGAGACTGTCGGCGTCGCAGGGAAGGAACATAAAACAGTTATTGGTTACGGTAGAGAGAAAAAGCAAAGCTGATGATGATCGTACGGTGAACTGTTTATTTAAACTAGAAATATTGGGATAATTAATTAATTAAAAATTTTAATTAATTATTATTTTTATTAAAGCTTGTAATTATAAGTTTAAGTCCCCGCGTAATTTTTGTAATATTTATAAAATAAGATGAATTATTAAGATTTAATATCACTCAAAATAAATAATGTGATTATTTAATTAAATTAATTTTCGAGTACATTGTGGTTGGACCACAGGAGGTCACACCCCAGGCACCGTGAAATACAGAGAGCGTGTGACACAGGTAGAATCTCACCAGAATTTAGTTACTACTCTCTAAGATATCTGATTCACTTGTTTGACAAATTTTTTAATCAAATTCAAAAAGAAAATGAAGTATGACTTTATTTAAATTTAAATTTGAACTAAAATTAAAAACTTGATAAAAATAAATTTTCTTTTTCCTGTTACAGATTTGCGCCCAACCACGGAGAGGTTTCCTTGTGGCATGGCCAGCAATGTAGTAAAAGGGAATGAGAAAATTTATTTTTAAAATTAAATGAAAATTTATATTTTAATGAGATTAAAATATAGTAATAGTCAATTTTTTATTGTTTTGTTTTTAAGTTAAAGTAAAAGAGCTAGTCTAATGTTCTCTAAATAGGAGATAATAGAAAATATGAGGAGAACTTTTCACTCTCTATTTTTTATAGGTGGCTGGTTTCTAGAGACAGAAAAGATAATAAAAGTTATTCTAATTCTAAGTTATACATGTGTTGATAGGGAATGAATACAAATTAGTTAGTGATCAAATCCATATTTTTATATTAGAGCCCGCGCTTTAGGTCTTGTAGATTTCAAGGACTAGACGAGAAAAATTTAAATTTTCTAAAAAAAAACTTAGAGTTTAGACTATTCGTGATCAAAAATCTCAAATTATCCACCTAATCATTCGTTAAGTACATATCTTTATAAATTAATATGATTAATTTATTATTATATAAATTAATACAATTTATACAGTATTTAAAAATTTTATAAAAATTTTTATTATATACAATCTGTTACCACGCATCCGCACTCAAAACGTTTTGAAAACCAACAGTGAAACGGTCGACTAATTAAACAGAAAAAGACAAAAATGGCCTTCATCAATATCACTGGTTTGTTCATCATAGTCGTAGGGGATAAGAAAAAAGGGAGAAGAGATTCCACCGCAACACATCTGGGCTCCGTTCACTTCACTGATTCGAGTTTAGAATTCGAGTTTTGTTACAGTAAAAAGCTCTCAGAAACAATCACATCTAATTTTTTTGCTACAGTAAAAAGCTCTCACATAAAGTCACATCTCAACTCGAATTAAAAATTCAAATCAGCGAACTAAACGGGCCCATGTGGTTTTTCCATGACCAGTTCTCACTTTTGCCACGGCAACATGAGATCTCGTCGAATTTCTCCCTTGCAGATCTTTTTGCCATTTTTCCGGTGAGTAGATAGAGAGGAGAGAAGGCATGAGATATGTGGACGACAAGATTAATATTGGAATATTACAAGGAAAACTTCTAAACTTTGGCCATATTTTTAATTTTTACAATATAAAAACAGCATACTTTAATTTAAATGGGTGGCCAAAGTAACCATCGTTAGAATTCTTTTGAGAAAATTTTATATTTGTACCTTGTTTTTTAGCGTAATCATTTTTTAGTATTTTATATTTCTGATACTTTTGAATTAGTACTTGATATTTTAAGAAATTAATTTTTAGTATCTGAGCTTATTTTTTAGGATGTAAAATATCATTTCTACCCTCATACTTAGGGCCCGTTTAGTTCGTTGATTCGAGTTTTTAATTCGAGTTGAGATGTGATTTTATGTGAGTGCTTTTTACTGTAGCAAAAAAGTTAGATGTGACTGTTTCTGAGAGCTTTCTACTGTAACAAAACTCGAATTCTAAACTCGAATCGGTGAAATGAACATGGCCTTAATTTTTTAAGAATCTATTTTTAAATAGATTAAAAATATTTAAAAATGTATTAAAATCAAAAAAAACTAAAAAAAATATACAAAATATAAAATTTTCTTAAAAAAATTAAATTAGATCTGACTTTAAATTCTTGGAAAATAAAATACGTGGGTAGAAATAACAATTTCATCCCTTAAAAAAATAACAATTTCACATATAAAAAAGGGCCTCAGGATATTAAAAGACTATTTCTTAAAACATCAAGATACTAATTCAAATGATCAAAAACACAAGTTACCAAAAAAAAATAAGACTACGTTAAAACACAAGTACTAATATAAAAATTTTCCAATTCTTTTTTATTCATCTCTGTATCCAACACATCCGCTTTGGTACAAAATCAATAGAGCTTCTAGTATCCTGCAAGAGGGAAATGCCACGGCGAATGCTTTCAAAGGTAGGTAGTTTACTTGCTTACTTGTTAGACTATCTATATAAAAAATAAAAAATAAATAAAAAAACTCAACCGCAGGAGAACCTCCTTTCTAAGTCGAGTGATTGGGGACTACCTCCTCATTAGGGGCCGTTCACTTCGCTGATTCGAGTTTGTAATTCGAGTTGAGATGTGATTTTGTGTGAGAGCTTTTTACTGTAGTAAAAAAGTTAGATGTGACTGTTTCTGAGAGCTTTTTACTGTAGCAAAACTCGAATTCTAAACTCGAATCGGCGAAATGAACGGGGCAACATTCTTGCTTTTGGTATCTTTCTCTCATAATTGGTGAATTCGTAAGTTCAATTCATACTGAATGCACATTTTTCAACAAATTATCTTTCTGTGTGTCCTTTAAACTTTAAATTATATAGAGGTGTGTGTCCTCTCTCAATTTTTTTTTGTAATTGCGTGATTTTAAATTTAAGGAGAATGCTAAATAAAAGTTCTTTTTCATTCTATTTTTGACACATGTCATCCTATGAATTTTAAACAAACATATTTAATAATAAGTCATTTTGTACAAATATAGTTACATAAATGCTACTCTTCTCTTTAACTCGGTCACACACCCTACTTGCACTCACTTTTTTATAGGCATTGTTTGGTTCAATAATTTAAATTCTTGATTTAGTCTGAGTTGGTGATTTGAATTGTAGTGAGCTTAATTGTAATTCGAACCGATATTTAGATACACTGGTAAATTGTAATTTAAATTGAGAATAAAATCTGAACTGTGTTTGAATAAAATATTGAAAACTGTCATTAGAGTTTTATCACAAATCTTATAAAACGTCATGGAAAATGAGGTTGAAAGATATGCAATATGGATGAGAATTTGTTCATCTCTTCATTATGAACATATAAGAAAAAAATCTCAATTGACGTTAAAATGAAAAAGTTATGATATTTTTAAGCTTAAAGTTAAAAAGAACAGAAAAACCAAAAACAATTCTTTTTGAATTGTTGTCAACAATAGGGTTGTGAATTTTAAAGGGGGTATGAATTCTAAAATCAATAATTTAAATCTTAGTTGATGGTTTGAATTATCTTTTTTTATTTTTAATATAAACACTAATTTGAACCTTTAAACACAATTGGAATTGAATTTTTGGTTCAAATAGTTGAACCAAACATAGCTATAGTTAATTGCCAACTTAGATGTACACAGTTGCCACGTTTCTTTTTTTTTTTTTTTTGTTTTACAGAAAGATTGCAACAGCCTTTTTTTCTTTGGATTAAAGGTTCAAAATTTTTTTTTTTTTTTTTTTTTTTTTTTTTTTTTTTTTTCTTGCTGAATCTGAAGCGTTCAGGTTTAGAAGAAAACAATTAGGTATTGGAACAAAATGAACATTTATGTTCCTTGTAAATCAAGCGTTTCGTTAACTAGTAGTTTACTAAAACAAATTTGCCAAATTTGATAAGATAAATAAAAGGAAATAATGATATATAGCAGATTTGACGTATTCTTTAATCAAAAACACACATTAACCAACAAAAATAAAATAAAATTCAAATATATTACTTTTTTTCGTCACTGATGGACGGATATACATGAACAATATACACCACAATAATCTTAGCTTTAAAAAAATTAAAGCCCCACAATAGAACCATTAGGTCCTTCATATTAAAGAAAAAAAGAAGTTTCTAGGGATTCAAAAAACTAAATGTAATATTATTTTTTCCCAACTTTAATAGTTTGTCAGAAATATTTTTAGACATAAAAAATAAATAAGCAAATTAAAAGAAAACGTTAGTGGTGCGTTTTTTTATATTCTTAAACGAGGAAAAATTTCATATTGGTACCATGTGTTTTAGTATAATTTTCTTTTAATATCCTGTATTTTTAATAATTTTAAATTAGTACATTGACATTTAAAAAAAATCATTTTTTAGTACATTGAGGTCATTTTTTAGAATGTAAAATGCCCTTCTCATTATTTTACCAACAACTAAGAAAATTAAAAAAAAAATTGGAAAAATTCATAATTTTTCTAAATTTATTATTAGTTTTTTTATTAATTAATGATAAGGGCAATTTTAACATTTTATATTTCTAAAAATGACCTTAAGATACTAAAAAATGATTTTCTGAAACATTGATGTATCAATTTTAAATTATTAAAACCACACGATACTAGAAGATAATTATATTAAACATATGGTACCAATATAAAATTTTTCCTTTTTTATATGTGATACAATCATTGAGAAATGAAATTTGCTAATGTTTTATTATTATTATTATTTTTGGTAAGTGCTAATGTTTTGTTTTTTCCTAATCGGGTTTCCTACTTCAAGTCAAGCAAAGCAGTGTCGCAACCGTAAATGGATGCGACAACAATGCTAGACAGCCAGAGGCATGCTGTTTGATCAAACAAATTAATAATAGAAGAGTTTTTTTTTAGTTAGGAAGCAATTGTACATTATTTTGATTATATTACAACCAATAACCAAGTTGATTTCTATTTAAAAACAAAAAAAAACAAAAAAAACAAAACATGCTGATAGTTATTTTAGCTATTTTGCAGGTTTCCAATTTTATGTAGTTTTATTTTTAATTCTATGTCAATGTATCTTCATAGCTCATTCTTGGACTGTAAATTTTGGTAATTGAGGTTTGAGTTTTATCTTTCATGTCTCACTTCTTTTTCTATTTTCTCTATCTTTAAAAAAAAAAAAAAAAAAAAAAAAAAAAAAAAAGACGGAAAAATAGAAAATAACCCCCCCTTTTCTCTTTTTTTTTTTTTTTTTTTTTTTTTTAAAAAAAAAAAAAAAAAAAAAAAAAAAAAGGACGGCAAAATAGAAAATACTCGTCCCTTTTTTATTAGCAAAAAGGAAAATACTCAAAATACCCATGTATCTTGCCAAAATACCATTTTTGCCTTTCTTATTATATAAATGCATAATGCACCCATTATGTTTATAAAAGTAGACCCTAAACACCCCTGAAATAGTTAAAATTTTAAAATGTCAAGATTACTCTTTTAAAAAATCCTCAGATAAATATGCCAATAAAAAAATACTTCAATTGTTTTGAGAGTTTTTCTTTTTTTAAGATCGATTTTATTTAACATTTTAGTTTAATATATTTTGAATTGTATTTAAAAAAGATTGGGAATAATAATCTTGGTATTAAAAAAAATTAATTGCTTAAGGGAGTGTTTTAATTATGTTTTACAAACGTGGGTGTTTTGAGTATTTATATAATAAGCGAAAGTGATATTTTAATAAAATATAAGGAGTATTTTGGATATGTTATACGTGACACCATTGCCATTGACTAGGGAAAAAAGGATTATGGTCAAAGTATGACCCTGAATATTAGGGTCATTTTAACTTTATCTTTTAAATTTTAAATTAGTCACAATTAATCTTTTTTGTTATAATTTTTGTTAAAAACTGACCAAAAAAAGGGGAAACTTGGTATCGTTTAACTTTTTGTTAAAATTTATGTTGATAACAAACAAAAAAAAGATCACACGTACTTTGCTTAACTCCACGTTTTAAAAAAAATATATAAAGTAAGAGTTTTTTAAGTTTAATAAGAAAATGACACTAAAGTTAAAGTTAAGAGGCATATGTGAGAATAAAAAAGAATCAACTCAATAGTAAAGTGAATGTCGTTTTAATTCGTAAATAACAAACGTGCTTTCACTTCTTCTTCTTCTTTTTTCTTCTATTTTTCTATCTTGTTTCTTTGTATATTTTATTTTAAGATAATTTCAATTTACTACTATGTGTTATAAAAATAAAAAAAACCGTCTTTTAGTACAATATTTTTTTATAATTTTAAATTAGCATATCTACCTTTTAAAATATCGGTTATTGATACTTGAAGTTATATTTTGGGACATAAAAGGTCGAATTTATCCTTTTTAATAATTTCTTATTTGTTTAAGTATATTTGGGTAATTTTTTTTTAAAAAAAAAACGTTTAATAAAAAGCAACCAAATCAAAAATTATTAAAATGACAAATTCAACATTTATGTTCTAAAAAGACCTCAAGTATCAAAAACTGATTTTTTTAAACATTAAAGTACTAATTTAAAATCATTAAAAATACATACAATTTTTATATGACACATAGTACTAAATTAAATTGTCTTTTTCTAATGTATGTTTGGTTCACAGGTTTGAACTAATAGTTTTGATTCTGACTTTTAGAATTTAAACTTTTCGTGAGAGAAAAATGTTGCAGCAGAAGTAAGAATCATGATTTGAACTAAGGAAAACTCGCTTAATTTATGCGTTTAAATTAGTGATTCTTGATTTTGATATTTAAATTTTAATTTTTTTTAAAATACTGTAATAGAATCAAAACCATAGGTGCGTTTAGAATTATTTTTTAGTTATTTTTCAAAACGTTTATGCACATCTTTTGAGGCATGAAAACGGTCTATAAATCGCGTTTGTTTAATAAAAGTTTTGAAAACATAAACGAAAATAAAAAACAATTGCCGTGTTTGGAATTGTTTTTGTTTTTTTCACGTTTTTTAAGGAAAAAAAATGAAAATGATTATAAAACGAAAAGACAAAAACGGAAATGAAAACGATTTTTTAGTTTAGTGTAAAATGAGAGAGAAATGAAAAATGACTTTTTTCATTTTTTTATTTTCGATTTCTCCTCTCTCAAGCAGAGAGAGAGAGAGAGAAAGACATTAATGAGTTTTTTATACTGAAAATAATTTCTTGATAAAACTATTAAACATATTTTTAAAAATGATTTATATCTGAGATTGACGTTTTCATTTCCATTTTCATATAAAAAATAAAATTATTTTAAAATTAGTTTCAAAATCACAGTTTAAACGTATGAATTAAACGAGCCACAAATGAGGAAATATTTGATTCATTAATTCAGAATCATTCTCAATTACGGAAAAAAATATTATAATAAATTATAAATAATGATCCGACACAAATCCGCCCTGAACGCTCCGTAAGTTTCAGTGGTCGTTCGTGAAAAAGCAGAAACAAAAACGAGGGAGTTAAAAACGAAACTCTGAAACTCCACTTCAGTTCATACTACCAATACCACGAGACAAGTTTCACCCGGAAAAAACATGGCCAAACTTCTTTTTACAAGCAAACATCTCGGATCCGCTTTCTCTCATCTCAACCCCCAAAGCGCCGCCGTCGCGGCCGTCACCTCTCGCCGCCTCCTCTGCTCTTTCTCTCCTTCCGACTCACAAAACGACGTCGTTTCTTCCGTCTCTCCCAACCACAACCACCACCTCCCATCTCTAGAGCCTTCAAACGACGCCGATTCGATCTCCGAAATCCTCGTCCGCCACCACAACCCTTTCCACGCCATGGAATCCTCTCTCCAGCTCCACGGCCTTTCTCTCTCCTCTCACCTCCTCCACCAAACCCTCCTCCGCCTCAAACACTCTTCCAAGATTGCCCTCGCCTTTTTCCAGTATTCCAAGTCTCTCCCTCTCCCTCCCCTCACTACCACGTCGTATAATATCCTCATCGACGTCCTCGCCAAGGTCCGCCAATTCGACGTCGTTTGGCAGCTGATTGTGGAAATGGACCGGTCGACCGGAGTGAAACCCGATTCCGACACGTTCCTCATCCTCATTCGCCGCCTGATCGCCGCCGGTTTGACCCGTCAGGCCGTCCGGGCGTTCGACGATGTCGAGGCCTTTGTCGGGACAAGACCGACGTCGGAGGATTTCCTTTTCTTGCTCGACACGTTATGTAAGTACGGATATGTGAGACAGGCCGTTGAGGTTTTCAACAAGAGGAGAAATGGGTTTGTTGTGGATGTGAAGATATACACTGCTTTGATGTGCGGGTGGTGCAAGATCGGGCGGGTTGAGACGGCGAAGAAATTTTTGAACGAGATGGTGGAGAGAGGAATCGAGCCCAATGTCGTTACGTACAATGTTTTGTTGAATGGGGTTTGCAGGAAGGCGAGTTTGCACCCGGAGGAGAGGTTCGAGAAGACAATAAGGAATGCGGAGAAGGTGTTTGATGAAATGCGTGAGAGAGGGATTGAGCCCGACGCAACGACTTTTTCGATCGTGCTTCATGTTTATAGCCGGGCTCATAAGCCCGACATGTCGGTTGAGAAGCTGAGGGAGATGAGGGAGAAGGGGGTGTCGCCGACAGTGGCGACGTACACGTCGGTCGTCAAGTGTTTGTGTTCATGTGGGCGGCTTGAGGATGCGGAGGAATTGCTTGATCAGATGGTTAGAGACGGGATTAGTCCTTGTGTGGAGACTTATAACTGTTTCTTTAAGGAGTATAGAGGAAGAAAAGATGTGGACGGTGCTTTGAAGTTGTATAGGAAGATGAAGGATGAAGGTTCGTGCATGCTTGGCATGCACACGTACCACATATTGCTTGGGATGTTCTTGAAGCAGAATCGTTTGGAGATTGCGAGAGAAATTTGGGATGACATGAAGGAGAGTGGAAGCGGGTTGGATTTGGATTCGTATACGATGATGGTTCACGGGTTGTGCGAGAAAGAGAAGTGGAGAGAGGCTTGTCAATTCTTTGTGGAGATGATAGAGAAGGGATTTCTTCCTCAGACGGTCACTTTCGAGACCCTCTATAGAGGGCTAATACAGTCTGATAAGTTGAGGACTTGGAGGAGGTTGAAGAAGAGACTGGATCAGGAGTCTATTACTTTTGGTTTAGAGTTCCAAAGTTACGAACTTAACCCTTACAAGAGATAGATAGTAAGGAATTAAGAAAGAGTTAAAAGTGTACACATTTTTTTGAAGTGCAAAGCAACCTGTGTGACGGTTTTTCATTGGATAATCTTAATAAATACTTTTTAGAAGTGTATGAGTCAAGATTTTTACCCGTGTATTCTTGATTCATAACTTTTTTAATCAAATAATTATACTAATAAAAAAGTATTTATCAAGAAAAAGAAGTAAAAGCCCAGATTTACACATAAGAGTAAATTATGTAATTTTCTCCTTTCTTTTTTTATTCCCTTGTTTTTTCTATTATTTGTGTTTAAGCTCGAGAGAAACAACTTATAGAAAGACAGTAATAGTAGAAATGCCAAATGGCTGTGCCGCGCTAGACACAATTGTGTTATCGTGTCGTGTTTAGCACGACCCATAATTCATCCCGAGTCAAGACTATCCACCATTTGAGTTATGGATATAGGAAATAAGAAAAGGAAAAGAGGAGAGAAGCATAAGATGCCGTGGACTGTGACATTAACATGTATGCACTACGTTGTTTAATGGGCATTGGAAATGGATGTTCAAAATTGAGGGAAGAAAATTGTTCCCCCATATGCTAGTATTCTCCATAATCAATATATACATCACGTCACACGTAACATGGGACTAAAATGTGGTAATATTAAGCTTTATCGGGCATGCAAACCGCTATCTTTCAGAGGAGGTACATATTGTAACCTCTAATCTTAAAAACTTTGGTTTTGTCAAAGTATGGAAAATTTATTGCACCTTCAAGCAACTAAATTTGATTTTAAAGGAAAACCTGAGAAAGAAGAAAAAATCTTTCCAAAGACTGAACTACATTTTCTTTAAACCTGCTTTTATGGAACTGAAATTCTTGTTCAACTCCTCCTTTAATGTTTCTCCCTCTTAGCTTTGGTGTGTTCCTTCGCACTGCCATGACGAGATCTACTTGGAGAGTCCCTGCTTCTACGATCATGATGTTTAGAATGCCTTGTGCCGCTGCTGGTACTCTTCTCTCGAGAATTTTTTTTCCTCTTGCTTTTTGATCTAGAATGATGACGACCCCCGCTGGATGAATCACTATCTGAATCACTGCTTCTATGCCGACGTCGTCTGGAATGCCTTCTACTCCTTTCATCTTCTGACGATAAACTGCTGCTCAACCTTCGGTGCCGCATTTTATCTTTCCTATCCTCCTGAGGATTCTTTTCTAAATTCACTAGATCATTTTTATTCTCAGATGAACCAATCTCAGAATGTATACTACCATGTTTGCTTGCGGTACCATGAATTAGCTCATTTTTCTTGTGTCTGCCATCTTGAGACATGTCCTGGTTGTACGGAATCCCATGGTTATCTTCAATGGATTGGATCTTATCATATCTTGAATTCTCGTTAACTTCTTTCTCTGAAGTAGAAGCCACGGATTTGTTCTTTAAGTAAGGTGGTTCGGGGGGAACCTCCAGACCTAGTTCCTTACCCAAGGACTCCAAAAAGTCGCCTGCCATCAGACGACTTAGTGCTGTATTAGCTGCTTCGGCCTTCTTTTCTGGATGCTCCGCTTTGTTGAGATTAGAGGTAGTGTCCTCTTCAACGTCCGAGTCATCAGAGAAGATAGCCTGCATAGAAGTGAAGACTGTTTTGAAAAGAACGCCTTATACATACAGCAAATGCAATAAAAATCAGTGGTTTTATTTATATAAATATTTTTACAACCCCTTGAAAGTTGTCATAATCCAGAAAATAAAAAGCCTCGCATAAAAGAAAATCAGAAAATAGAAGCCGCAAGTAATATGTACTTAAAACTACTACAAGTATTACCTTGTATAGGTCAACTGGCCTCTCCACATTTTCAACTTCTACCTCAACTTCTAATTCTTTATCAGCTACATCTTTGCTTTTCCCTTGGGTATCAGATTGAGGTGTTGCAAATGAATCTCTATTTTCTGTTACTGTTTCTTCAATGTTTTTGGTTTTGATAGAATCCGGTGTGAAAATGAGAGTATCTATCTTGCTACGTGTGCGTGGAGCTGGTGGTGGCTGCAAAGGGAAACAATTCTAAGGTATGATTTTGAAGAAATCAAAATTTCATAATAAAAATAATTTATACAAATCCAATAAATTATTCATTTTGTACACGGTTATTATTCAATATCTATCAACTAAAAAAGAGAACGGAAAACTTTAAATAAAATACTAATGATGAGATACAAGAAAGTACAAAAGATTGTTTTTGTTTTTTTTTTTTTTTTCCTTTTCCTGATGGAGGGAATAGGTGAGAAATTAAATTCAAATAATTTGAAGATCAATCCATGAAACCAGCTCATAACATTTTAGGGCTGGAGAGGAAGGAAAGGACCAGCCCGAAATCATCTTTTTGTTAATTAACCATACTACTGCTTCTACACACTAAAATGGGAAATTTGTCACCAGGACCAAAAAACTGAAGATTCACAAAAATGAAGATAATTACTTTTTTTTCCTTTTAAAATTTTCCAATCACTACTCAAATATCGGGAAAAAAAATACCGCTCAAATGAGAGAGATAACAAGAGGTTTCTGCACAATAGAGATTAGGATACAGGACAGACTAAAGAAAGCAATTGAAGTACCTTCCCCATGTAAGGATCAATAAGATCAAAACGCTTGCATAAAATAGGCGAAGGCCGCCATTGATATTCTTCCCGCTTTGGGTACAGTTTCTTTGTGATTGAATCTTCAGCATGAGGGTCTTCAGCTTTCTGCTTCCAATAATTTTAAGCAAATAATTAATTTCAAGGCTGCAAATGTAAAATCTAGATATTGCAACCTAAACAAGGGAAAGAAAGATATTGGCAAAACATACCTGTAACCCACCGGAAGTAAACTGCATTGCCCCAGTAGCCAAGTAGTCTGTAATGTGCTGTGCAGGCATCTTGCTTTCTTTACCCTCCTTTCCCTTCTCTATTGTCTCAGCTGCAGCCTCAAAGTCCAACCTCTCACAAGCACGCGCTGCCTCAGACATATGACTAGCTCCACTAAACTGTGTAGTTCGAAGCCCTCCCTGGTACTTTTCCTTGAGAAATAACTCAAATCTTTCTTGCTTTGCAGGATCATCGTTAAAGGGTTTCTCAACTTCAGGCAATCCACTCTAAAATCCCAAAACAAGAAGTAAGATTCGAAAGTACCCACGAATACTTCTTAAAAGATAAATATATAACCTATGTAAGCATTACAAAGCAATCATCTGATATTACTAAATAAATAAATAAATAAGCAATGATCTGAGAGGATCTTATAAAAGCCAAGAATATTGCAAACATAAAAATTACAAAAAAGGAAAACAAGAATATATATATATATATATATATATATATATATATATATATATATATGATTTAAAAAAAAAAAACAAAAATATATATATATATATATATATATATATATATATCTACTCACAAGTGATTTAGGTTTTGTAAATGTGTCAGAAAGATTGTATTGTAAATGAACCGAATCTGAGGAAGCAACAGATGAACTTGCATCTTTGAAGCTTCGTTCTAAAGGCCTCTCTCCTAAGATATGTCCACGGCTCTCTGCAGTTAGCTTCTGCATGCTTGGAGATACTTTCTCATCCAATTGATACTTGTTTTGATCAGCTCGCTTTAATCGGGCCTCCCACAGCTTTCTTGTATAATAATCATGGCCATTTCCTCCACGAAGGAAACTAAACAATGGATTTGACTGATTTTTCTCTCTGGACAGGTCCTCAAATAATTTACCACACCTAGCTACTAAAGTTGCAACCCCATCAATTAAGAGTCTCAAATTACTATCCACAGGAGGAGAAACTTCTGGAGGGCCGGCATCAGCGACCCTAAAATCAGTCTCAAGAGGGCCAGGAAATTTATGGTGGGGTTCAAAATCCTTAGGAACAAGGGGAGGATCAAATCTGCGGAACAGTTTCCAAAGTAAAATAATTAAAAGTTTTACAGCAGAAAAAACAAGACAGAATTGAAAAGAAATATATGCATTCATTTCTACAGAACTCTTTATTAAGAAAGCTCATCCTTGGATCCGTAAGCATAACAATTTGATTGAAAAAAGAGCTGCTTACCAAGAAGAAAAGAAGATAAGTTCACAGATATGAGATATTTGTACTGGGTTATAAATGCCGGGAAAAAAAAGTACCAACACGCATACAACATGAAATCACACCCATCTAATTACCTTTCTGGCTGGTAGTCAGCCTTTGATGCAATTCTAAATCCAGGCAGAACACCTTGCTCATTTGTAATCAACTTTCTTTTGCTGTCCACTGTCAATTTCGTTGAAGGTTCATCTATTTCTTGAACATAAGTCTCTTCGAAGTCGTAATCTGAAGATCAAGTCTGTTATTAACAAACTGTTCCTTTTACAACATAATACAAAAAGTTAAATGGATAAATAGCAAACCAGGTATCTTAAAGAACAAATATAAAATGGCACATAGGACTTTAGGAATGGAGTGGACTATAAACAGACTAGTCCTGTTCAATATTCATTACTATTTCAGACTGTTAAGTGAAAAGTATTGTCCCGATGCCATGAACAGGAGTGCCTCCCACTGCTTCAAACCTTTACCAACTCATTTAACAAAGAAACCATAGGACTTTAGAAAATTTAGATTTTATCGAGAATGCATTGATTATAGTGCTGATACCAACCGGAGGCAAAAACATCCTCATCTTCAGCATCAAGTTCTTCGAGTGCCCCAATGCCAAAACCAGGTGCAACCTTTCCGGCTGATAAATAGTTAATCTCATGTTAAACCATAAAAACCAAACAGAAGCTTTCAAAGGAATATGGATCTCTGAGTGCCTATACAGAATGTGACGCTCTAAATGATATGGCAAACAAATGTATGTCAATCGATCTTACACTTGAAACCAAAGAGATTGTTTTTCATTGAAGGAGCTTTCCTGTACTCAGGGTCCCTGTTCCCAGATATGCGTGATCTTTTCCTTTCTGGAAATAACAATAATGATGAAGGAATCAATTCATAAATAAAGATAAAAATACATCAACAGGACAAAAACTCAGCTGTGGCCTTTTTTATAGTAATGCAAACCTTGTGGAACACATACCCCTAAATTCAGGAGCATTCTTATAAGGGTCAAAACCTAAACCATGCAAGTCCTGCTTTGGGGTGAGTGTATAAACCTGCAATAAGGAATTAAGGATAAGATTAGGCACAAATTCTACTACTATCAGATAATGAATCTTCAAAATGTTTTTATAGATTAACAAGAGCGGATGGATATGACATCAAAAAATAAACAATAGCAGTTCAAGCAATGATCAAGGAAATATGAAACTGAGGAAACTTGAAACGTCCATCACTCTGGCAAGATTTGAATCAAAGTTAGTTGCAATTTGCAAAAGCCAAATTACATATTGGCAAACGTTCTAGGACACAAAAAAACCACGGAAACCAGAAATATAGTGACCAAATAATGAGATTCTGCAATTGACATGGGAATTAAGGAGTGGTTTCAGCCCCCTCCCATCAAAGAAAAAAATACCTGCAATACAGAGCAAACAGAAATACCTCCTACCACCCAACTCCAAGTCCAAAGTCTAAAACCCCATTTATAATACAAGTAAATGGTATTACTTTTCTCTTTCCAAAGCTACTAAAAGTCTGTTGTACTAAAGTGGCAGAGACGATACACTTGAAATAATAATTTACTCCAACACATTCCCATTCAGCTAAGCAGCGGAGAAAATGGTCTTAGAATTCTCCCTTAACGTCCAAAGGGCTTTAATTTCACAACATATGAGTTCTCTCGCAGAATCTAAATACCCGATTACTCAAGTTAGGCACACTAGTCAAAATATCTTTATACATGCACGTTACATAAAAAGCCCATCTATGACACTGCATGTTATTAGAACCCAAATTCCAACCATGTCATGATAAATTTTATAAGAGAATTCAAATGTTGAATCACCAAATAGAACACTTTCTATGTAATATGCAAAAAAGCAGAGAACGTTCTCACATGAGTGCCTTGAGAAGAGCGAACATCATCATTAGCCGGCTGCTCAATGTAGTTTTCAAGGTCACCCTGAATAGATTCAGAAGGAGCAGCCTGAGCTGATGCATCATCAGAAGAAAATGCTAAAAAAGCTTTCCGTGCTTCTCTTCGGGCATCTGTAAGTGGATTACAAAGACAGGTTGGTGAGACCAATGTGGTTCAATTTCAACTAAATTGCAAAAAAGTTATAAACATTAAACTGGTTTAACCTTGCTTAATTTCACTGTCATACACATCTTTAGTTTTTTACATGCCCATGACCAGAGATGGCCCGTGCAAGCACACAATTACAAACTATCTCTCAGTTTTTAAATATATTCCGTCCACTGGATAAGCGATAAACGTCATACCAAAGTATAACCTAAAGTTTGTTTATTGTTGCTACAGATATAAAATGTACAGGAGCAGGAGTTTTAACCAAACTAATGCAACTCCAACTATCCTCCCTACAAGTACTCGTGGTCCAAAGAAACAGGAGTCCCAGCCAAAGCAATCGCCAAAAACGTCATAGTTGCTGTAGGCATGTTAATATAGCTTACAACCCTGGCATTCTGACATTTTTTTCACATGCACAATACCATACAAAAAGAGAAGGCAGCCTTCTTAAGTGCAAACAATAAACAAGCAGGCAAGCATCCAAAACTAAGAATTGAGGAAAACAACAATCCTGACAATAATTACTAATGTTGACACGACAGTTATAAGAAGTATTTGCCCCTTTAGAGGACCGTTTAGATCAAAATCTGTAAGTGTACCAACCCTAAATGATGCTGTAAAATTGTATCTTTGTAAGAAAACTTGGAACGAAAAACATACTGTAGAGTGAATCAGCATGAGAATCCTTAATTGAACGACCACGTCTCCACCCCATCTTCAACAGCAACTTTACACCTAATCAATGAAGCAAACAGCTGAAATATTCACAATTTGTACTGGGACAATAATTTGCATAACCAATAATCTAAACTTCAAACAAAATAAACCTATGGACACTGTGGCTGGAAGAATAATTTCATCTGGTATTGGTCCAGGAATGGCTGATGGTCTGAAAAACAGAAAGAAACAAAATATTAATTGAGCCAGAAAATTACTCATGATGCTCTATATAAAGAATGGTATTGTATCAAGAAAAAATTTAAACCAAGTAGGAACATGTTTAAACAGAAAGCAAAAGGCTACAGCTAGCCGAAAATAGACGACCTGAAAGTAGATAAACAAGGACAAGCAAATAAAGACAAAAAATTGTTATCTTGTTCATCAAAAGGTGAAAGGCAAAAGAAGTAGACTAAGATAATATATTATCAGAATTAATAGAGTACCAAGTAGGTTTTTCTGCCGCAAAAGCGTATAGAAAGAAGAAACGAATGTACACATCATATGTTCCCCTCTTATTATCAATCCATTCCACAAATGGAAATCAAACATTCCCCTCACACAACACGAAATCAGGAATTTTATACATGTTTTTATAATTACAAAAATTTCAAATTAAATAATGGTGAGATATCAGGCACTTATGCAGCATGGAGCCAAGCACAGTGAAAAAGGTTATTTTCATCAAAATGGATAAATTTTTAAACTTGTAGTTTACAACATATAAATACAAACTTCAATTAAAAAAGCAACCATCTTAATCTTGATGCTCTACAAGTCAACTTTCTCAACCAATGAAAGGACTCAGTAGAAGTGATCAAACCACTGCTATAAATAATAAGCAATTAAATACTCCCCTATAATAAACACTTACCTTTGCTTTTGTTCCTTCTCAGCTTGTTTGAGAGCAAGTTGAGCAGCTGTGAATCCAAATGTATCAAACTGCGACGATGTACCCAAGGATTGACCATCCAGTTCCTGCGATATCATGCATGAAAAAATTATCAGACTCGATTTAGAATTTTAGAGTCTTAACGTAAAAACTACTAAGACATTTCACAATTTCAGTGGACACATCTCCCTTGATCTGGCCAAAATATATGTTCAAAATGGTACTGTGCTTTAGCAATAAATGGGAAATCGTGAAGCTAAGCTGATAAGCTCCAATTCGAGTAACACAGAAAGATGGCAAATTGAAGAGGATTTGTATTTACTAATCCGAGAATTAACAATGGCGGCAAGAAAAGTAAAGAATGGTATGGGGATTTTCGAGAGATCCCGTGCTCTCCTAACAACTTCTTAAAGAATGACAAACTGGAATTAATCCCTACTAGCCTCCCTTCTATCTTATTTATACTCCTACCTTAATTCTCTATACAGACTCCAGGTAACTAACCTCCCGTCCCTTAACTAACTTGCTGGCATGGCCTTCCTCCAGCAACTGCCTTGCTGACTCAGCTTCCTGCCTCTGGCGTTCATCCAGCGGCTGCCTTGCTGACTCAACTTCCTGCTCTGCCCCTTCACTGAAACCCCCCCTGCGCCTCCTTCGCGCATATGTGAACCGCACAGGAGGCTTATCATTACCCCCGCCCCAAAAACGCACCTTGTCCTCAAGGTGAAAATCAGGGAACTGGGCATTCACAACATCATAAGATTCCCATGAAGCCTCATGCTCTGGCAGATTTTCCCAGCGAATCAGCACCTCCAATCCCATTCGTCCACCAAGGAGCCGCTGGCGCACCCCCATCAAAGCGGCTGGAGCCACCTGCAACTCCAAATCACCAGTCAACTGAGGAGGTAACTAGGACACTTCCTGGTCCTGGCCTACTGCCCGACGAAGTTGGGAAACATGGAACACCGGATGGATGGCAGCGTCCGCTGGCAACGCAAGGCGATAAGCCACGGAACCAACTCGCCCAACAACCTCATAGGGACCATAAAAACGAGGACTTAACTTCTCATTGCGTCGACGAGCTAATGAAACTTGGCGATACGGCCGCAGCTTGAGGTACACTAGATCTCCCGCGGCAAACTGGAAGTCGCGGCGTCTACTGTCCGCCACAGCTTTCATTTTCTGTTGGGCGCGCAGAAGGTGGAACTTAAGGAGATCCAACATCGCATCCCGGTCCATCAATTGTCTTTCTACCGACTCCACGGGTGACGTACCCACCCCATAGCGCAACAGTGGAGGGGGAGCTCTCCCATAAACCACTTGAAAAGGGGTCATTCGCGTGGAAGTGTGGAAGGAAGTGTTATACCAATACTCCGTCCACGCCAACCACTTGTGCCATTGCCCCGGCTTGTCGGAAGTGAAACACCGTAAGTACGTCTCCACGCACCTGTTCACTACCTCGGTCTGCCCATCGGACTGTGGGTGATACGCGGTACTGCGGGAGAGGGTGGTGCCCATTTGCCGGTGAAGCTCTATCCAAAAATGGCTTAGGAAAATTCGATCCCGATCAGACACAATTGTGCGAGGCGCGCCATGAAGACGGCCCACTTCCTGAATGAACCGTAGCCACTTTCTCAGACGAGAAGGGATGTCTCAAGGCAATAAATTGGGCATATTTACTGAGCCGGTCAATGACGACCAAAATAGTGTCAAACCCTTCTGAACGAGGCAGTCCCTCAATGAAATCCATGGATATATCCTCCCATACCAGAGCCGGCACCGGTAATGGTTGTAGGAGCCCACTAGGAGCCAACGTAGAAGCCTTGCAACGTTGACACACCTCGCACGCTGCCACATAGGAGACCACATCCTTCTTCATACCTACCCAATACCAATCGGCGGCTATCCGGCGATAAGTTTTCAGTTCCCCGGAGTGCCCTCCTATTACACCGCCGTGATAAGAACGCAAGAGCTGTTGTACCACCGGGGCCTTCGAAGCTACCACTATTCGGCCCTGAAAGAACAAACGCCCCTGCCGAATTGAGTACCCCGGATGAGCTGTAGCATCCTGCTGTAAATCCGACCATACCTTAGCCAACCAAATATCCTGTAAAACCTGCTGGTGTATAGCCTCTGAGCTAATCACAGAAGTAGCCGCCAACACACTTAAAGAAGGGTCGGCCTGACATCGAGATAGAGCATCTGCTGCCCGGTTTTCTACCCCCGGTCGGTATTGGATCTCGAAGTCATATCCCAGCAGTTTAAGCAACCATTACTGGTGCTCCACGCTCACCATCCGTTGCTCTAGCAAATATTTAAGGCTGCGCTGGTCGGTCTGGATAACAAAATGGCACCCAAGTAGGTAGGGCCGCCATTTCTGGACGGCCAATACGATGGCCATTAGCTCTCGCTCGTATACGGATTTACTACGAGCTTGAGCGGACAAAACCTGGCTGAAAAACGCTATTGGCCTTTGTTCTTGCATCAATACAGCCCCTACTCCAAACCCCGAAGCATCCGACTCGAGCACAAACGGTTTGGTAAAATCCGGCAAAGCCAACACTGGCACCTGTGTCATGGCTAGCTTGAGTCGGTCAAAGGCCTGCGCTGCCTCGGCATCCCATCGAAATCCGTCCTTCCGAAGCAAAGTAGTTAGAGGCCCCGCAATCTGGCTATACCCCGCCACAAATTTCCGGTAGTAACCGGTCAGTCCTAAGAAGCCCCTTAAATCTCGCAAATTGGCAGGTGGTGGCCATTGTAGCATGGCTAAAATTTTAGTCGGATCCGCTGAAACTCCTTGGTCGGACACAATGTGTCCCAAATATTCTATGGAGCGTTGACCAAAGCTACATTTCGTCGCATTGGCATATAATTGGTGCCGCCGTAACTCCTCCATCACTTGTGCGAGATGACACTCGTGTTCCTTCTCCGTTCGGTTGTAAATGAGTATATCATCGAAGAATACCAACACAAACTTGCGAAGGAAAACTCGTAAGACCTCATTCATGAGTGATTGAAAGGTTGCCGGAGCATTTGTCAAGCCGAAAGGCATTACGAGAAACTCGTAATGGCCTTCATGAGTGCAGAATGCTGTCTTCGGAACATCTTCCGGACGCACTTGAGGTCTAATTTGGAAAAAATTATCGCCCCATGGAGCTCGTCAAGAAGTTCCTCTATTACGGGAATCGGAAAACGGTCGGGTACCGTTTCCTTATTCAAGGCGCAGTAGTCCACACAAAACCGCCAACTACCGTCCTTCTTCTTGACTAATAGCACAGGGCTGGAATAAGGACTCACACTACTAGTATGTATAATGCCAACCGCCATTATTTCCCCCATCAGCCGCTCAATCTCGGTTTTCTGGATGTGCGGATAGCGGTACGGCCGTACATTGATTGGTGAAATTCCCTCCTTGAGGATAATGGCGTGATCCTTTGCCCTTGCCGGAGGCAAACCTGCAGGAAACTCAAACACCGAAGCATACTTATCCAGTACCGACTTCACCCCAGACTGTATTTCCTCTTCCCTGTCACTCGAGTCTACCATTAAGTTTCCCAACTCCACCCAAATTACTTGACCCTCATGCCTAAGAGCTCACATCAAGGCTAAAGGGTGACCGGTGATTTGTTCAAACCAGGATCTCCGCGTAACGTTACATGTCTATCTCCCACATTGAACTTCATGAGTAACGTTTTCCAATTAACTGAAACTACCCCAAGAGTTTCCAACCACTGGATTCCCAGTAACTACCCAATTCTAAATGTAGGAAATCTTCCACCACCTCCACATCTTGCAAGGTCACCATCACCCCTTTACAAATTCCCTCCCCTTTCACCGAAACCCCAGTACCCATCACTACCCCATACCCACTAGTTTTATCCACGGTTAACCCCAATTTCTTAACTAGTTCATAAGAAATAAAGTTGTGGGTAGCCCCACTATCAATTAAGACAATTACCTCACACCCCCGGACGTGTCCTCTGAGCTTCATTGTTCTCAGAGCAGTGAGTCCCACCACCGAATTGAGTGATAGTTCCACCATTTCTTCTTCCCCAGGCTTCTCATTTTTCTCCTCATCTCTCTCCTCAGTTCCATTCTCCTGTTCTTCTTCCTCTTCTTCCCTAACGATCAGGACCTGCAATTCCCGGTTAGGGCAATGGTGCCCATAGGTATACTTCTCGTCACACCGGTAGCATAGGCCCTTTTCTCTCTTCGCCTACAGCTCCGCATCCATCAACCGCCGAAAAGTCGCCGCGCCTCCACCAGTTCCGGTCTTCTTCTCCGTCATGGCGAAGTTCCTCCCTACTGAATCGCCCGTGTTCCCTGCTCCCGTTCCAGAATGGCTTGGGCCACCCCTCTGCCCAGTAAAAGTCGTATAAACATTTCCCCCCTTGCTCCAAGTCATATTTTGTGGGCCTTGTGGGCCTAAGGTTCTTGGCCCGCGTACCATCAAATTTCGATCCTCCACCCGCTGGGCTACCTCTATGATTCGGCCCAATCCTTCAGGCCTCATCAATCTGATTTCCGCCCTGATCTCAGGCTTCAATCCCTTAACGAAGGTGCTCTCCAGGACCTGCTCCGAGAGCTCCGTCAATGGCGCCGCCAGTACCTCGAATTGTCATCGGTACTCCTTCACAGTCGTTTCCTGGCGGAGCGGCAAGAATTTCTCGCACAGACTCCCCTCCTGCGTAGGGCGGAATCGAAAACCATCAGCTTCAACACCGTCCAATTCCGAATCGGCCTGCGACCGTCCTCCCATTGAAACCACGCCAAGGCTTCTCCTTCGAGACTTACCACCGCCGCGTCCAATTTCTCCCCTTCCGTCATTCGATTCATGGAGAAAAACCTCTCAGCACGGAAGATCCAACCATCGGGGTTGTCTCCATCAAAAATTGGCATTTCCACCCGTCGCGTTCGAAATTCCGCACGGCCTCCTCCTTCCCGTTGCCGATCTTCTCTTGGCACCGGTGGTTCCACCGCTGTGCCTTCCGCGGCCCATGGCGACTCTTGATTGGCCGATTCCCTCAGTCTCACCAGATCATCCAACCTTTCAAGCAACATCTCCATTCCCTGCTCAAGTCTAGGTATTTTCTTCAAATCCTCACGAATTCCTTCCATTTCTTTCTGGAATTCATCGCAAGGAACCTCCGTCTTCTCCTTCTCCCGTTCATCGGCGCGTCTCGTCATCCTAGACGTCATTGCTCTGATACCAAATGATAAGCTCCAATTCGAGTAACACAGAAAGATGGCAAATTGAAGAGGATTTGTATTACTAATCCGAGAATTAACAATGGCGGCAAGAAAAGTAAAGAATGGTATGGGGATTTTCGAGAGATCCCGTGCTCTCCTAACAACTTCTTAAAGAATGACAAACTGGAATTAATCCCTACTAGCCTCCCTTCTATCTTATTTATACTCCTACCTTAATTCTCTATATAGACTCCAGCTAACTAACCTCCCGTCCCTTAACTAACTTGCTGGCCTGGCCTTCCTCCAGCAACTGCCTTGCTAACTCAGCTTCCTGCCTCTGGCGTTCCTGGCGTTCATCCAGCGGCTGCCTTGCTGACTCAGCTTCCTGCTCTGCCCCTTCACTGAAACCCCCCCTGCGCCTCCTTCGCGCATATGTGAACCGCACAGGAGGCTTATCATAAGCGTCATGTGAATTGCATTTTCCTTCATTCTCATCATAAGAAAAGACATCTTATCACTGCTTCTAGAAACTTATGCTGAGATGGGGCAATAAAAGCGACGAGGAGGTACAAAGAGAACTTTAAATTATTGCTTACTTGTCTGGATACACAGTGAAGAGAAAAAGAGAAGTCTACTAACAAGTGACATTTTTAGTTTTTATTATAGTTAACATTTAAACAAAACTGTCAAGACTCAAAATACAACTTTCAATTTCCCCAATTTTATCTTCTTTGGAGAGATAAACCCTGCATGCAGAGCGACATTCAGGCTTCTACTCCCTCCTCTCTATTCCTCTCCACAATGAATCACCCAAACAAGATAAATTTAAAAATTGTCTTCCGCTCTTTTTCGTTTCTCCACTCCTTTCAATTCAACCAATCTTTTGGGATGAATATGGATTCAAATTACAATTTACACCTTATCTTTTTGTGTTTCCACGGTTCCACCCACAAATATTCACTGCCCTCAGGGCTCAAAATTCCAAGCTTTGATATATCCTCTTTTTTTAAGCAAAGCCAGAATAAAGAAATGTATTAATATAATCATAAGTAATAAGTTAACCCAAATTTTACAATATCCATAAGTTTTTGAGACATAAGCACGAGAATGGGCCACGTTCTATGAGAATAAGAATAATCAGTTTCCATTTTTATGGTTTTAACCCAATTTACTTTTATCTTAATTTGCCCAATATATCTTTTTGTTTATATAATTTGAACAAAAAGATTCCAACAGACTCAGATCAAGATTTCAATGGCTCAAAACCACGTACATGTTAATGTACTTGATTAAAACACTTTTGACTAAAACTACTAAAATTCAAGCAGAATAAAATAAAATAAAATAAAACAAAGACTAATAGTTGTAAGTTAATGCACATATAAACATACAGCCTTTTCATCTTCATCCAAAAAATTGAAAATGCTCTGCTGTCTGACTTCAGCCCTGCTCTTCCGGGAAGATACAAATGACTGCGGCGTCCACCCTACACGTTCGCATAACACAATTCAGAACACTCAGGTAATAAATTTCTCAGAAAAAGAACAGAAAATTTTTCTCCAAAGTAAGCTTAAACTATACCCTCTTTTGAGCCCACTGAATTGAAATACCCAGCAGAATACCCTCCCGTAAATGCTCCATGAAATCTTCTTCTTCCTTCTTCGTCTCTGACCTAAACCAAAGCAATAGTAAATAAGAAATAAGACAGTATTGATTGACCACATAACATCGTTCAAGACAGTATTGATTGACCACATAACATCGTTCTCTCATAAAAATATTAATAGGAAAAATTAGAAATTGCCAGTCTTGTTGAATTCAAGAAAAACAACCAAAATCACTCAAATTCGCATCAAATTCAGAACCAGAAGTTCCCATTACTGTTCATCTGCTTAATTTCTCTCATTACGTCAATTTTTTCTCCATTTTCTTCACCATTATACCAAGATCAAACACTATTTAATTAATCACATGAGAAACACAGAACACCAAAGGAAATTTCTGCTTCCTCTAATTTCTCGGCAAGGAAATGAAGTATTTTGCGCACTGGAAGCGAGCTCTTAAACTCACTTCATTAAAATCGAAACACTCATTAAACTCAAAATCAGTCATTTCACTCCAGTTTCTCAAGCTTTCTCAGGAAACATATAGAAAATCCGCCGGAAAATTGAAGTACCTCTTGCTTCCAAGAAGGAAGGGTTCGGAGCTGACCGGAGGCCTCGGCGACCGCTTTCTTTTTGCGGCTAGTGATCCCTTCCTCTCGTTCTATTGGAGTGCCATAGAAAACGTAGTCCTCTTCGTCGGAATCCATTTTTATCGTTCCTTCAAATTGTAAAGTAGGTCAAAATCGTTGCTCTTTGATCAGTACTGACATAGCAGAAATGCCAAAACCTTGAAGAATTCGAATGGAGAGACGAAGAGCAGGAAATTTTGCGTCGGAATAAGGGTTTCGTTTTGGGGAAATTCAATGGCAGAGCAAGCGAAGCAATTCTTGCTGACGAGATATTCTAGATTACAGAGGGAAAATTTTATGAAAAAACAGGAATTAGGAATACAAGAAAAGGGTAGGAGCTTGAATGCAAAATGTTTTTTCTTTTTTTTTTCATTGGGTTAAAAGATAAATATTAAGATGGCTTTTTTGTACGATATCCATGAACTTTCAAATTTAACAATTTAGGGTGCATTAAGAACTATTTTTTTGTTGTTTTTAAAAATATTTTTGCACATTTTTAGAGGCATGAAAATAAAAATAGTCTATAAATTACGTTTATTTAGTAAATATTTTGAAAATGAAAATGAAAATGAACCGTTTTCAATTTTTCACGTTTTTCGAGATAACAAAATAGAGATTGAGAAGAAAAACGCGTTTGGAAGAAAAAATGTGAAAAAAAAAAAACAAAAACGGTTTTCGGTTTAGTGTAAAATGACTTAAAAACTGAAAACGAATTTAAGTCGTTTTTCATTTTCAGTTTTCTGTGGATGTCTTTTTTTTTACAAGTAGGTGTAGGCTTAAATGAACTAACTAAATGCTCTTAAATTAAAAATTAAAATTGTATAACCAAACGGAGTTTTAGTTTTTTCTTATATTAAAAATAATTTCTTAATAAAACTACCAAACGCATTTTCAAAAATAATTTCTGTCTGAGATTGAAAACGTTTTTATTTCTAATAATATACAAAAAACAGAATCATTTTGGAACCAATTCCAAACGCATCCGGGTGCGTTTGGAATTGTTTATAAAAACGTTTCTGCACCTTTTAAGGCACAAAAACGAAAACGATCTACAAATCGAGTTTGTTTAATTGAAAACAAAAATAAAAATAAAAATTGTGTTTAGAATTGATCTCGTTTTTGTTTTTCATGTTTTTCGAGAAACAAAAAATAAAAACGTTTCTAAAACGACATTTAGTGTAATAAAAACAAAAAAGGAAATGAAAATGATTTTTTAGTTTATTGTAAAATGAGAGAAAAAATAAAAAATGACTTTTAGTCGTTTTTCATTTTTTATATTCGTTTTCTCCTCTCTCGAGCAGAGAGAGAGAGGGACATTAATGAGTTTTTTTTATACTAAAAATAATGTCTTAATAAAACTACAAAATACATTTTCAAAAATGATTTCTGACTGAGATTGAAAACGTTTTCACTTTCATTTTCACACTAAAAACGCAATCATTTTGGAACAAGTTCTAAACACACCCAATAACATTTTTTCCGTTTTAATAACATTAAAAACATAGAGTGTTAACAATATGTTTCGCTATAATAGAGATATCAAAATAATTTTATCTTTTTTTTTAACCCTACCATAGATATAAGTAAATATATAATTCAAAGATAACATGTGACTTTGTTATCCTGGCAGGTGATTTAAGCTTGAAAATCAATGTGATCATATCCGGTGAAGGTGATTGCCCTTAGGTCCTTAGGAAATTAGAGACATCGTTCATTTCACCGATTCGAGTTTTCAGTTTTAAGTTTCTACAGTAAAAAATTCTCAAAAAATGTCACATCAACTTTTCTGCTACAGTAAAAAGCTTTCATAAAATGTCACATCTCAGCTCAAATTAAAAACTCAAATCCACAAAATGAACGATGCCTTAAATTGTCAAAGTTACGATCATTGTAATCTGCTCCTTCAAGGGTTTCTGGGCTTAGAAAGATAACTTTATATGCCACAATCTTGCTAAATGGTTGATTAGAAATTACAATTTTTGTAAAAAAAATATATTATAACAAAACTTTATATGCCACAATTGTAGGGAAATGTTTTTGTCTGTTAGATTTGTATCAAACAGAACTTACTACTATCAATTAAATGAGTCCATAAACATTAGAGTATTCAACTTAAAAAAAATTCCAAAATAAGAGGAAGAGAATAATAGATTGGTTGCGTCGCCTATTTGCAAAAGGAAATTCCAAGAGCCCTTAAACTTCAAGCGATCAACCTATGAATTGCATATCCGCCTTTAATTGAAAACAACTCACACGCTCATTAACCGCTAAATGTAATGACATACCTCATTAAATAATTTTATCTTTTTTTTTTAATAGAAATCATGAATTCCTTATCACTTTTTTCCCGCTGAATGATTAATTCCACATTTAAGAATGAGGAAAACCATCGAGAGAAGAATTGTTACAATATTTTCTCTCACAAAAAAATTAAATTCAATTTTTTATTATAGTATTTTTTTTTCTCACGTCACACATACAACTCAAATTTAACTTGAGTTGTGAAACAAACATATCATAAATTAAAAAAAAAAGGGGGAAGAAGGTGAGTAGGGATGACAATTTTAACCGCAAACTCATTTAGCTGCCGAGATCCACATTAAACGGGGCTGGAAAAATCCACTTTAAACGGATCAAGATTATAAATTAGTTAAAATTTTAACCCCTCGCGGGAAGGGGACAGATATGGCCCGTTTAGTTCGCTGATTCGAGTTTATAACTCAAGCTGAGATGTGACTTTATGTGAGAGCTTGTTATCATAATAAAAAAGTTTAACGTGACTGTTTCTCAGAGATTTTTACTATAGCAAACTCAAATTGTAAACTCGAATCGGTAAAATAAACGGGTCTTTATTGGTTCCCGACTCTAATCCCCGTTTAATTATATTCTATTTTTAAATTAGATATATTATGTATAATATGCTATAATATATAATTTTAAGTATAATTTATTACATAATATGTATGAAAATTTAACTATCTTTCTTTTTATTTTTTAATTAATGTTTTGTATGTTTATATGTTTAATTGATTAATTAATTAATTATTTATTTATTTTATAATGAAAATAAATAATCAGATAAATAGAGTACCGTGAATACTGTGAACCTATGACGGGAAATTTCGCCTCATAAACTATCAATTTATGCGGCTTCATAAGACAAATATCATGAATATTTTTATTCGTAAAACAAGTTAACGAAAAGACCATCTCGCCACAAATCCGTCCCGTTACTATCCTTAAGAGTGTGTTTGGTATGATGAAAAAGTGGAAGGAAGGAAGTATGTAGAAGGATTATTGGATGGAAAATGATAGAGTTAGTTGTTTAGTAAGAAGGAAGAGATGAGAGAAAGGAAAATATGATGGAAAAGAATTATAGTGGGGCCACTATTTTTTATCTCTCCAACATTGGAAGGAAAACTCATGATACATTTGGTTCATGGATTAGAATCATAAGATTAGAATAATTTTCGATTTACGTGTATTTTTTATATAAAAAAAATACTGTAGTGAACCATGAACCATGATTCGAATTGGGTACGAATCTCCCAACCAAACAACTCCTCAAATTCACTCATTGATGGCTAAATTTACTTTTGTATCCTTATTTTAAAATCTAAATTAATATTAAATAATTGATAAAATAATCATTTAGACTATTACATGTTTTCTTTTCTCTCATTATACAAAACGCTATAAAGAAAAATCAACTTCATTCTTTTCCTTCACATTTTTTTTTCTTTTATGTGTTTTGTTTCCATCCTATCAAACGGAGTGTAAAGGTGAGCAACAAAAGTTTAAATCGAATTGCAATTAACCTTCTAGCAAAAAAAAATAAAAATAAAAATAAGCAATTAACCAAAAAAATAAAAAATAAATAAAAAATAAAACTCTGTTGCAATAAAAAAAAAAAAAAAAACCCAACAAAAATTTAACTCGAAGCTCCAAAACACATCCCCACGAGCCCGTCTCACCGTGCACGACACCCGCACCAGTTTGACCCGCCAACGTGGGCCCCACCTGGGAATCTCTCTCGCGACGCGGTGAGAGAAGCGCGTGGGATAGTGGGAGGTGAACGCGCTCTAGGGAAGACTCTCTCTCTCTCTCGTCCCTTGCCCTAATCGCCTGCGAACAAGAACTCGCGCTCTTATCCTGTACACAACACAACAACCTCAACAACAAAAATGTCCTCCTCCGATAAATCCCTATATTATCCGACATGCTCCTCTTCCTGATCTTCCTCAACCTCGTATCTCGGATCGGCTAACTCCACTTCCTACGCCGATCCACTCCTACTGGCCGTCCTTCCTTTTCAACGTCTTCTTCTTCGTCTTCGCGCTCCGACTCGGTAACTCGGTGAGTCGAATATCCGATTTTTTCCTTTTTTGACCTGTGCTTTTTTCGTTGATTTTCGTATGAGAAAGCTTTGGTTTTTCGTTTGTTTGTGCTGATTTGTTCGACTTTGGTGTTTTTAAGGTTTAAGGATGGACCCGATGGACATCGTCGGGAAGTCCAAGGAGGACGCTTCGCTTCCGAAAGGTATACGGATTTTCATGCGTTTTGTTGATTTTTTTTGCTCCAATTTTACGTTTTTATTGAATATTTTGTGTGGGTGTTTTTTTTTTTTTTGGAATTTTGGTGATTTATTACTCTTCATTCATGAATTTTTTGTTATTTGTTCACATTTTCATGCGTTTTGTGTTTTAGCTTTGTCGTGGTTTTTTTTAACCTCCATCTTTGTTATTTTGATTTATATTTGAATTTGCAGTTATTTTGTTCAAATAAAGGTTTTATCTATATTTTATTATTTTTGCTTTGAAGATTAGGAAAAGAAAATTGGTCGAATTTGATGTAAAACAAAGATTTTCGTAGCATGTACTGTAAGGAAGACAGTGATGTTGACAGTTTTAGATTTTCGTAAATTTTTGTAAAAATATAAGAGATGTTTATTTCCTCATTATTTTTCTTCTTGTAGTTTTTGTTACGAGGCATGCAGAAAGGTTTATTGAACTTGATTATACATTGAATTCTGTGTGTAAAGAAGAAAGGATATTTATTAACAGAAAAAAAAGAAGAGGAAAAAAAAAGGAAAGTAAAGGATAAAATAGGCTTAACGTTGAGCTTAATTTGGTGGGTTTAGAATCTCTTGTGGAGATTTTAATGTATAGATAGATGTCGGTTGCTATGGATTCTTGATCCTATCTTGATGTTTAATTGTCCATGTAGGGGTGTGTGTAGGGTTTGCTTGCTGGTCCCAAGGAGTAGATTTTAATGAATTGTTTCTGAAAGGAATGAAGGACTGAATTTAAAAACTTCCGTTAGGACAATCTATACTCGGGGTATATTGAATCTTTCTCCGTTGCTTCGTTGTCACGAATAATTTTTCTCAAGTTATGCTTATTTTGTCATTGTTGTTTCAACCTATCTAGAAGCTTTTTTTTTCCTTGTTTAGGATTTTATGTTTTTACCTTTAAAGTTTTTCCTTTCTCGCTCCAGCGTCTTGTTCAGCGTCTTGTTCGTTAATGTTTTTCAGCTGTAATGGCAGCCATAATCGTCAATTTTTTTATGCTGTAATGGCATATGTAATTTCCCTTTCAAGTATAAACGTAATTCTGTCAGCGTTTTGTCGAAGTTTTAATCCTCTTTTTCACTCCAATAAGCTTCGGTTTGGGCATATTGGCATACCAGTGTGATCTTTATTTGTGAATTTTCTATACTTTCTGAAGGATATTGATTTGGTAGTGTGCTTGGTATTTTATTTTCAAAAGAAACAGTTTGGATATTTAATCCATTCTCTTCTCGAGACGAATTTGGAAGATCAATGATGTATGTGCAAGAAGAATATCATAATTATAATTAGAATGCGAGCTGTTTTGCTTTCTTTTGAGAAGTTTTTATCTGTTACTTCCCTTAAACAATAAGAAGTCAATATGCTTCCGAGTCATCTGCTTCCCCTAAGATTAGCTTTAAAGAGGACCCTTTTAACCTAACACAAATATCCCAAAAGTTCTAGCAATTTTTCTAAACCCAATTTTTGGCAACAAATTTTCTCACGTAATATGTCGGTGCAGCTACTAAATTGAATCTAAATAATGTTTTGGGTTATTCCATAAATGGTCCCTAAGGTTTGCTTTCATTTCCACTTTAGGCCCTGACTTTTCAAACGTCACGCAGTTGGTCCCTGAGGTTTTATTTTGTTTCAGTTTCAGTCCTTCTGTTATTTAGGTGTTAAACTTTGATGGAATCTATGTAAATTAAAGACCAAAATTGGAAACAACTAATATTTTGAGACTATATGTGGAAATTAACTTTTATTTTTTTTGAATTGTTTTTGTCCCTAAATTTTATATGTTTCCAATTTTAGTCCATGATTTTCACAAATTCCGTCAAATATTTAACACCAAGCTAACAAAATGATTGAAACTTAAATAAAGTAAGACCAACTGTGAGACCTTTTAATAGTCAGGGACCAAAGTGAGATTGAGAGTAAACCTTAGGGACCATTTGTGAGATTAACCCTAATGTTTTTAATCTTTTTCATTTTCACTTGTTGCGTTGATCACTCACTGACACAATTTGTGATTTATTGTCAGCAACCATGACCAAAATCATTAAGGAAATGTTGCCCCCAGATGTTCGCGTTGCAAGAGACGCTCAGGATCTTTTGATAGAGTGTTGTGTAGGTGAGGCCAGTAACTTCTTTTTCTTTTACTAAACTTAACTGTGAGACATATTCTATACTTAGTTTGTCTAAACATCAATATTGTGTCATTTCATACTGCATACTTGAATTTAATTTGTCAGGCGTCCGTTGTGCCATATCAGTTTCTCTATATTGTATGTCCCTACATTTGTTTCAAAGGTAATTTCTGAGAAATAGAGAATAAACAGTGAGATCCTTTGGTGGGACTACATGTATCCGCCTCCTGAGCATCAAGGACTGCACTGTTTTTTTGTAATATGTTATGTCGCATAGCTTACAGCTATTTCTGCTTCCCACAGCCACAACCATCAGAAAATAAGTTTCATATGAAAAGAGACGTGCACATAAATGTCCTACAAGTCTATAGATTATTACTTTTTCTCTTTAATCCTACATACTTATATGTTTTCTTTATGGATGTACGTTTGATTTGTCCAAATTATCAAATTTTCTATACCATCATGACGATGGCAATCATCTCATTGTGGTTGATCAGACGGTTGGACAGACTCATGGTGTGTCCGCATATTATTTCTTATTCGTGGTTAAATTTTAAGCGATCGACTTCAGATAATATATGACATGATGTCGAGCTTTTGTGTTATGTACCTTTACCTTGCTTTTATGTGGTATATTGTGAAGTTATGTTCTTTTATTGTTGAACCTTCTTCGTCTTTTCTGTGTTTGTGCAGAGTTTATAAACCTTATTTCATCAGAATCTAATGAAGTTTGTAGCAGAGAAGAGAAAAGGACTATAGCACCTGAGCATGTTCTTAAGGCGTTAGAGGTATTTAAACCCTGCTGAAACATATAATTTGTGTTTAAATTTGCATCATTGTTTATGCACGGAATGGATGTGTGTTTGAACTTCCTAAATGTTCGCATTATGCATCTCCATTTTTCTAGTTTATAAGGATTGCTATCCATTCCTATATTGGTAGTAACTGGAATCATTTGAAGTCTGATACGACTCATAATAGTGTTATTTAAGAGTGTCATCATATTGTTGGCAATCCTTCATGATACTTTTGAGATTTGATACTGTTGTTAGTCATGCCTAATACTGCTGACACCATATTGTTCCAATTATCTGCTGCCATCGAATATTCAGTAAAATTTGTGTCTATTCTGAATTCTCAAAAGAGCCTATGCATTTTCTGATAGTCTTTAAGGGGTTCTGTTACAAGTTTCTTTATAGTGTTATTTTGAAATTTGTAGCAGCCAATGGGATTTTAAAAACTAATGTTGTTGCAGCTTGAGTAAGATTGTGTCCTACTATCATCTAGATTGTGCCTGAAGAGTAGAGGTCTTATGTTTCTTCTAAATGATAAATTTACAAGCCTTTGAGATTGTAATTGGGATGAAGAGAATTATCTTCTCCTTTTTTGTGCTTTTACAAGTCTGAACATGGTAATGAGGGTAGAACACTTGCATTCTGTTCTTATATGCCTCACAAATCTATTTAAATTTGCATAACCTCCCAGTGTGTGTATAGTTGAACATGTCATTTTATAGTTTAGTATTTAGAGGCCTTTTGTTACAGTGGTACTTCTCCCATGTGATGATATCTTTTAGGTTTAACCTATATCATAAGTTAAGGGATCGTTCTTAAAATGGAGTTCCTCGTAGAATTAAATAGTAATCTCCATGATTTCATTTGCTTCAAGTTTATATTATCTTAAGCGCTGCCTTAGCGAAACTTAAATGTTGTTCTATTATCAGGTTCTTGGCTTTGGCGAGTACGTTGAAGAAGTTTATGCAGCATACGAGCAACACAAGCTTGAGACAATGGTAATTTGAAATTTTCTGCGGGCTCTTAATGAACATCTATTAGGAAAGTTTCCTTGTTGTAGCAGTTGATTTGTAACTGGTTTTGGCAAACTCTGTTTTGCGCCTGTCCAGATTACACACACTCGCACCCCTCCGCACGCAAACCAAGACTTGTTTTCATAGCATCGAGTCAGATTTGATTCTTATGAAAGGGGCCCCTCACTGTTGAATAGAAATTATGATTGTCTGAAGGCACTGTTGTACTGATAAAACTATGGATTTTCCAGCAGGACCTAAGAAGTGGCAAATGGAGCAATGGAGCAGAGATGACGGAGGAAGAAGCATTGGCTGAGCAGCAGCGGATGTTTGCTGAGGCACGCGCGAGGATGAATGGAGGGACCGCTGCACCCAAGCAACCAGAACCTGACCAAACTTTAGAGAGCTAACTTTAGAATTAGGATCTTTAGTTTCCATGAACTATAGGCAAGCATCTGAGACTTCCATTTTGTGCTTCTAATATCTCTGATGTTATGTACAAAATCATTGACTAGTTTGCTCGCCTATGTTAATATGTACTTCGATATGTATTCGTATTGTTGGATCCCTGTCTATAAAGGTAGTGTAAGTAACTAGTAAGCGTTTGTTGGAATTCACCTGTTAGAAAATGTATGTAAATTATTTCTTTTAGGTCTTATTTAAGGGGCCACTTTGGGTCATTGTCCTTCTTTTTAAGTCTGCATTAACATAAGAAGGCTTCAAGCACACCCACTATGTTGGCATTTTGTTTTTCGTCTGGTTCTCTCGCCAAGAAAAAGAACAATGCTCGGTACAATGATGGCCATTTTCTTGCCTTGTACTTTTGGAACACACAGCAAAGTATTAGGTCATGGTATCTAGAAAATGCTTTTCTTGGAAAAGTAATTTATATGCATTTTTCCATGCTACCATTTCACAAGTTTTAAACTCAATATTCGTGGTCGTTGCCTTGGCAACCCTCGAAACAGATTCCATCGAACCATAGAACGGGTGGCCTGTTAGCATGCAGGTAGCGTGCTCATTAATATAGTAGAACTATACTGTGAGTAGAGTTAAATAGTTGTTAGCTGTGCGAGGTGTCAGCTTGGACGCTGAGCTTGCTATGCAGTTAACGGTCTAATATTGTTATGCGACAGTTTGGTATTGTATGTGGTCTGATATTGTTATGCGACAGTTTGGTATTGTATGTGGTCTGATATTGTTATGCGACAGTTTGGTATTGTATGTGGTCTGATATTGTTATGCGACAGTTTGGTATTGTATGTGACATCGATAAATAGCTGTTATATCTGCTTTGGTGGTGGTTGGTTAGGCAACTGCAAATTAGATTCAACTAGAGGTGACATATGGTGGAACCGGTTGAACTGTGAGAGAGCTTGTTGAGAAGCCAGTATATCAGTATTACGAGTCCAATACACTATCATGTTTTACTGTTATGTGACAAGCTTAAATGTAATGTTTTTAGCACTAAAGGCTGCTATTTAACGGCTGTTGGATGGTGTCAATTTGTAGATGATGCTTCAATCTTTAGGTGGGACCAATGAGATTAAGGGGGGGTGGGGGTGCCTTGGTGGGGTCCCCACAGACACTGAGGTCAAGTCAGTTCGCAGGTTGGTGAAATGTATACTCTGCACCCAACATAAGCATGAGAATTCAGTGGACTATAGAACCATCTCATAACACTGGCAAACACCTCTGCCCCAGAAGACATGGGGTTTTTGAGAAGGGTGTAATTGTAATGTATTTTGTGTTTGTGTCTGGTTTTCTGGCGTGTTCTATTTTGCATAGTGATGATGGGGTTTTTTGGCTTTGAGTGTGAAGAATGAGATGGCAATTTTTTGTGTTGTGGGTTTTTGGCTTTGGCAAATAGGACTACTGTTTTTTGGGTTTGGGGATTCAAGTCAAAAGAAGTTCAGTCAAGCAAAAACCCCTTCTCTCCCTTGCCCCACAGGAAAGTGAAATTACACACACATTGTCCCCTTAGATTCCTTTCTTTTCTATTTGAAAAACCCACTTCCTCACTCACTCCTCTCTCTCTCTCTCTCTCATTTCCAAAATCAGTTTTGTGGGCCACCCTTTGTTTCTTTTGTCAGGATTCTCTGGGGCTAACCTCAAAATGACTGGAAAACAAAAAAAAATTTAACCAAAGCCCCCACACATCATAAAAGAGGAGCAACCAAAGAATAACTCTCTTATATCTCTCTCCCTCTCTCTTCACCCACTCTCTTTAAGAGCTTCCCCTCTCACTTTGATTTTTCTTCCTCAGATGAGAACAGTCATGGCATCAAAACCCCAAGACTCCTCTTCTTCAAAGAGACACTTCCACTGGACAAAGAAGGTTGGAAATGAAGATGATGATGATTATGATCATGAAGTCATCCCAAGCCTCAAGTCCTCTTCTTCCTCAAAGGAAGTGAAGAAAGACCACCACCACAACAACAACAACAACAACAACAACATTGGGAAAGAGTTTATCTCTGGACCAGAACCTCAAGTTGTGGCTTCACCACAAGCTCCAAGAAGAAAGCTTCCACAAGTAGCCGTTGCAAGGCTGAGGTCAGTACTAACTGCCTTTGGAAGGAACCGTTCAAGCTTGCCTTTTGGTCTTGGTCCAAGAGTTGTTGGCACCCTTTTTGGCTCTAGGCGTGGCCATGTCCATTTTGCATTTCAAAAGGACCCAAACTCACAGCCAGCTTTTCTAATTGAGCTTGCCACGCCCATCAGCGGTTTGGTCAAGGAAATGGCATCTGGGCTTGTCAGGATTGCCTTGGAGTGTGATAAGGAAAAGGAGGAGGAGAAAAAGGGCGTGAGATTGTTGGAAGAGCCAGTTTGGAGGACATATTGTAATGGCAAGAAGTGTGGGTTTGCCACTAGGAGGGATTGTGGGGCCAAGGAGTGGAAGATTTTGAAGGCTGTGGAGCCAATTTCTATGGGGGCTGGTGTGTTGCCTGGGATTGAAGATGAGGCTGGCTCAGATGGTGAACTCATGTACATGAGGGCTAAGTTTGAGAGGATTGTGGGGTCCAGAGATTCTGAGGCTTTCTATATGATGAACCCTGATAGCAATGGAGCTCCTGAGCTTAGTATCTATTTGCTTAGAGTTTGAGCCTGCCAAAGTTGAAGTCTCAGTTTCTGAATTAGTCAAAATTTCCATTTTGGGGGGCATGGAGAGATACTTAAAAGAGTGATTAATCTAAAGTGATACTTGTTTTAGCTCTTCAATCAGTAAGCTTGAGGAGCACTAGATGTACCCAAGTATTGCTTTTTTACTTTTTTTTTTTTTTTTGGGTATATTTGGAGAAAAATGGTTAAGTGGGGTTATTGTATTTTGTTAGTTTAGGTGGAGGGCAATACATTGTAACATGATGGTTGGTGGGGTCATGAGGGTAAGGTGTATATGTATAGTTTCTTCTTTTTGCAATCCTTTATTAAGTGATGATGAGACAAAGAGGCCAATGCAATCATGACTGTCTTTGCATTTTGGCTAATTTTCTTCCTCTTTTCATACAGTGCTCATTTTGGTATGGATTTACCTTTCAATATGGATGGGGACAACAAATGGATGGACCAATTCCAAACTAGAAAAAGAATCCTACTTCTATTTGTGATTTTGGGTGCTTCTTTGTTTTGGTATTCACTCTGCTTCCTTGTCAATACACCCAACAAAACGCAGAATTGATGTAATAATGTATATGGATTGTAAATCTATCCATTTCAACTTGGTTTCTGTCTTCTTATTCCATGAGAGTTGTATTTATTTCACACTACAATTGGGTAGTTGTACTGCGAAGCTAATCTGCTGAAATGCCTTATCTATGAGGTAATTACTCACTTTCACAATTGGTTGGCTTGTCAAGAAACGGTCCAAATCCTAAACTCTCTGCTTTAATGGCATAGAGAAAGCAGAAGAATGATTTAATGGCTTCTTACTCATGTCACAATTACAGTGACAACTTATCATAATAAATATTTTTCTACCAAGTGATAAAACTTTCCAAATGTTAATTACAAAGTGTTGTTTTTGCAGTTTTATAACAAAGAAAAAAAGGGAGAGAAATTAATGACGCAAAGATGCAACATTGTTCCTTTTTGTCTGTGGAAGGACAACTTCTTTTCCTTTTATCTGCCATGGACCATAACTTCAATGATATGTTCATTGTCTTCTTCTTTACCTTTTCTTTTTCTTGGGCTGAAATTGTCTCTTCTTTACTTGGTCATTCATTTTCTTTCACTGTTTACGTTGGATCTATGAGCAATAATGTTTCACACATACATCCATCTCATAAAAATGTAAAACATTTGGTCTTAAATAAAAATAAAAATAAAAACATTTGGTCCAAAAGTATTATAAGGGTGTTCCAATCATTGCTTTTGATATGTATATGTAATTTTGTGTGGGAATGATCCCAAGAACATTTTATTTAAAAACTAATCATAGAAGTCATCAAAAGCAAAATACAAAAGGGAAATGCAAGCCCAATTCCTGACAGCAGAATTTGGCTTTTCTCATATTGTTGACTGCTTTTTCCCCTCTATTTCTTTCTCTCACTCTTCCTTTTTTTTTCTTTTTTTTTTTCCTGGTTTTTTTGGGTACTTCAAACCATGAGGATTGCCTTTAACCATGGTGTTTTGAATCTTTTGATTCTCTGCTGATCTTAGACTATTTCCACTATTACTACAACTTTTTATAGCTGCGCCTCTTAAATTGTAGCCCACCACCTATTAATCTATACTAGTAAATACAATTGACATCTTTAACCCACTTACTCAAAGTCAAAAAATAAAAAGGAAATATAGTCATAATATAAGACGATAAGTATACCAAACTTTATATCTTATTCATGGAAAACTCTGTAGTATACTTTAGACTATGTACCTGATATTGTTGTATTTCCTTAAAAGTTTGGTTTATACCATCAGCTTATGGTTATTTCATAAATATCCTTTGAATGATGTACCTTGTTAAATATGTCCCTAAACTTTATAAAGATGTTAACTGTATAAAGTCATTCATTTTACCCCTTAATTATAAAATACCTCTTGAACGGTGTAATTTTAAAAATATCCGGAACAATTGATTTTACGGAAATAGTAAAAAATATGCGAATATGAAAAGCTTAAGCAAGTATATATGCCAACTTTTAGTTATAGAAATTAGTAGGCCATAACTTGTCAAATTATGGTTAATAACCATATAAGTTATGGACAAACTTGTTAAGTTATGGTTCATAGTCAGACAAGTTATGGATAAAAATCGTGATTTATGGACAATAACTTGTCAAGTTATGGTTCATAACCAGACAAGTTATGGACAAAAACAGTAATTTGGCCTATTTATTAACTTATGTAAATTATTTACCTATTAATTTTAATTCATTTCAAGACTTGGCCTATTTTCCTCTTTCTCCCTTGATTTTATGTCTAATGTCAACTTGGCCGCCGATTTTTTAAACAATCACGGACAGTGGGCTGAAAAAATCAATAATTCGAGAGGTAAATTGACTTAAAACTAATATTTTGAGGGAATTCATGAAATACCATATAGTGTTATATCATCATTTTGTCAATATTATAGGCGGATCTCGACATAATAGGTATCTTGAACAATTTTTATATAATTTAATCCTTCATAAAATTCGGGGAGCATGTTGAATTAGGGCACATAGTTTAAGGGACATTTATGAAGTTAATTTGAAGATATATCTTATATCTAACAAAATTTGTTGGACCAGACAGACTATGAAATAATGTTCCGTGTGCACAGAATACCTCAATAACACCTTGTTTAAAGAAACTAAAATTGATGTATAAAGTAAATTGCGGAATAATAAAGGAACAAGTGGTATGGTTCTTTAACGTGGTCAAAAATCTTTTCGGGAAAAAAAAACTAAGTTTCTAATCACACCAGATAGAAAGGGGATTCCACTATCACCAAACTACATTTACATTGGATTGGAATTACAAGAAACCTTCCTAAATTTACACCAACACCTAACCCACGATAACTCCTTTTGACTCACTTCAGACTCCTCGCCTTACTCTAAGTTTCCTACGTGCCTTCGGTCCTCTTGACCTACTCCAAGTGCGATACTCACCTTCAGTTCTCTTGACTTACTCCAAGCGCCACAATCCACCTTCAGCCCCTTCTCAACATTACTTCAAATTCTTCAAAAGTCTGCAGACAACAAGGTTGAGAGCAATGAATGAAGCTTACGATAATTGCTCTGGTTTTCTCTCACACTTAAGCTTAAATAAGAACACTCAAATTATCTCTCGTTGGACTCTTAAGTTCTCAATCTAGGTCATCATTAGAGAGGTTGATCATGATCTCTACTTGAATTTGATTTCAGATAAAAACTTCATATTTAAATCCTCCTAAAATTCCAGCTGTCTTCAGTAACTATTGTTCAAATGGTATCTCAAACTTTGCATTGTGTGGACAAACAATTCATTTTTTGATTTTATTGCCTGAACAAAATACCTGAATCTAAAATGTCAAGACACTCAAAACAGACTAACGAGAGCTGTTAGTTCAAATTCAAACTAGATCTAAATTATATTTGCAAAAACATGCAGATAACCACTGTAAAACTTAGTCAATAAGCAGAATAATGCTAAGATGAATCTACACTCAATTAAGCACTAGGATTAATTCCACAAAATTTGACTTGGAGACAACTAACCTAATAGAAGAGATAAGCTTAAAATTTAAAATCTAGAACTTAAATTTAAAATCACAACTTCCACATGAAATCAGCACAATATTCCTTGTTAAGTATCAAACCGAATAATCAAAAGATAAGCACCAAACAATACAAACATTAAATCCCCGAGTATATCTGCAATACAAATTTAAATTAGATCAGCAACAAATAATTAAATTAATTTTAATACAAGGTTGCCAACAAAATATACTTGGGAATAAAATACCTAACAAAATCTAATAACGTTATAATCGTTTAGAAGCACAGCGTTACTCGGCAGTAGGTTTTTATTTATCAACAACCTTCTCCAGTAATGTATTATATTAACATCTATTTTTTTTTTTCATACTTTTTCATTCTGATATAATTTTAACTTCTCTTTCTAATTTCAAGGGTTCAGCTTCACTAAGCACGCCTTTTCTTTTCTTCTGTTTCACACTGCAGGAATCAAGATAGGAACCGGAAGCAGAACAGAGCAGAGAAGGGAATTGTTATCAGAGGATGTGGGTCCAAGCAGAAGCCAATAAATATATATACATATATATATATATATATATATTCAGGATTAGCTTATCACATAACCCGAGGAGCGTTTTTGATTATCTACTCATCATTCTTCAAAACTTTCAAAAGCTGCTTGCTCTACATCTCGTAAAGTTAGCCCACGCTGCTTTATTTATTTATTTATACCATTATTATTATCCCAATAAACGGCAATCTTTTCTCTTTTATGTTCCACAAAATGTGCAGTCAAATAGAATCGATAAAATAAAATAAAAAATAAGAATGAGAAAGAGAGATAATTAAAGTGTTTTCATGGTATTGGTACATGGCTAAAAAGCCCTTAAACAATCCTAGTTGTCTAGAGCCGTTAGCTCTATTATTTTGCAAATCTTTAATTACATAAATTTTTTATTTTTATATTTTTAAATCCTTTATGCCTCATCAGATTCAGAAATTTATATCAGTGGGAGTACTTACTAAAGAAAATTCTAAGAAGTTTTCATAAGAAAAAAAGATATAAATATAAGTTTAGGTGCCAAAAAGATCAAAATACATAGTTGGTTGTTGATATAAATAAAATATAGAAAAATAAATAAAAATAACATATCAAAGTATATAAAGAGAAGAGGAGTTGTGTAGTTATAAAACTTTAAAAATAAAACATGAAAAGAAATTTTAAATATAGCATAAATTTAAAAGAAAAAACTAGGTGGGGGAGTTGAGTTGGAGCACGTGTCCCTACAGGGCCCCCACCTAGATACGTCTATATGCCTCGTGAATTTTGATGTCATTTTTTATTTACCCTTTCATGCTTAAAATCTTTCATTTTGTCCTTTTATTTTTTAATTTAATGTGTTTCGTTGGAGTATTTGTTAAAATCAGACAAAAAAAGGAGGTTTATTTTCTTTATTATTTTTTGCTATATAAAAAAGAGGGGAAGAGGAGTGTGATCATGTGATCTTTTTTATTTATTTTTAATAGAATTGTAACAAAAAGACCATGCGATTTGAGTACCTCATTTTTTCTATTTGTTTTTAACATAAATTCTAATAGAAAAGGGATTAAATAAGACTACTTCAAAATTTAATAGGCAAAGTAAATTTTTTAAAGGATAAATTGCACAAATGGTCTCCAAACTCTTTAAAATGTGACAGTTTGATCCACAAACTTTTTATTTGACGAAACGAACATCAAACTATTTAAAAAGGTACAATGTAGTCTTTTTCGTCAGATACTGTCTAAAAAGTAACGGCATAATAACCTAAAAAGATGACATTATGGTCCCTCATTTTTTTATGAGGTGATTTTTTAGTCTCAATCGACTTTAATAGGTTAGGATTTAGTCTCTATTTTTTGATGACATTTAACAGAAATGACGACCCTACACCGTTTTAAATAGTTTAGGGCTCGTTTCATTGAAAAAAAAAAATTTGAAAACCAAATTGTCATCTTTTAACAAGTTTAGAGACCATTCGTGTCAATTACTTTTTTAAATTCAAAAATTAAACAAGAATTGACTCTAAATTTTAAGGAACACCATTGAGAATAATTCTATAAACCTCTACCAAGTAGGCCACTGCAACTTGGCTCGAGATAGGACCGAGATAGGACCTTACCAGTCACTTACTAGTAGGTCCTTGTTGGCTCGTTTGAGTCACTTTTTCAGTTGAGTATAGTCTATAAAACTCCTTTTTTTTTTTTTTTTTTTTTTCAGAAGAAACTGTAAACTATTTTTGATAAAGTTTAGGCAAAAATCCAGTTGCTAAGAGGTGTTACATGCTAAATTACAGGCCTAACACGACTTAACTCTCATAACAAATAAAATATGGCATAATGAACAACGTAAACACTAATTAATAGTGATTAAGCCGTCCACACAACTAAACTAGACCTTGTTAAAAAGCAAAGCCAAATTTCTTTTCTTTTAAAAATGCAAAGTGCAAAAGCATGCCTTACTTATAAAAAAATAATAATAATAAAAGTTAGATTTTTTTTTGGCACGCTCCAGATTTATTCTGGCTTAGCCATAGTTGAGAATTTTGTTTTTTTTTCTTTTAACAATGGACTAGTGGAGGGCAATTATTGGACAAATATTGAAATGTTTAAATAGGTCTAGCTAACTTTTAGGCTTTATTATTATTGTTTTCTATGGATTAGTGGCTAAATCCTAATGTAACATGCTAAAAATAATTAGTGTGAGTGGTTTAATATCTTAACAATCAATTTAATGATTAATACAATTGAATCTAATGATTGTCATAAATAGTTAACGAATGATTTGGGTGAACACTAAACAATGTGGCTAATGGGTCATATGCCATGCTGAGTGATGATAGCAGATCTGGGGCCCAAACACAGAACGGCTAAAAGGGGACGTTAGATTATTAGCCCAGCCCATATGTTCTCAGGTTAGTGGTGGTTTTAATATTGGAATGCTGATCTAGAAGATACATCTGAGAGCTAGTGTACATAATATAACGGAGAAAATTATAGAATTTATCTTTAAAATTTTTTTATTATTAATAAATATTCTTTTATTAGTGTAATTATTTAAGTAAAAAGGGAAAATTTTTGATAAGAACTCTTCTAAATTTGCAAGTCCCTCCTTAAACTTTCAAGTTTGGCAAATCACTCCTTGTATTTAACAAAACATTGTAGGTAGAGTACCACCTAATCAATGGTGACTATTAAAATTTAGATGGAAAAGTCTTTGCACAAGTTACATAATCCCATTTGAAAGGAGATAAAGATGGAGGGCATTAATTTGAGGACATTTCATTTCAAATTTTAATTTGTGAATACTCTGTAACTCTGCGCAATATTTTGCTAAATTTACAGGATAATTTACCATATTCACAGTTCAGTGGCAACTTGACAATTCGATCAAATTTAAGAGAAATTTGACTGGGCGGCCTTCTGAGAGTGTAGAGGGATTAAGAAGAGTTGTTGTGGCGACTGATATTGGGAAAATCGAATACAGAAGACAAAAGGGTCTCTGATACAAATGACATTCTTTTCAAATGTTCCAATCGGCTATTTGACTAATTTACTAAAGTTGCCGAGCCCTCATTTATGCTTAAATTCCCAAAATTTTAGGGACAAAACCGTCAGGAAACCTAACAAAAATTGTAAATAAAAACATTGATTCGGAAGGAAAGAGCAATTGTCACCGGTCACAGTTTGTTGTCTGGTCTCTTCATGATGCGAAACACATCATCTTTACACTATGCAATTAATTTGTGATGCTTTTCGGTTAGCTTTAAATTTTGCCAACCCATTCAGGCAATTAAATTTTATGCCTCTACTATTTTTTATTTTTAAATTCTTTGGAATGCTTGTGTAGGAGATGATGCATGTATGCATTTTCTTATTTGTGAGGTGGTGCCCAATAAAAACAAAAAATGAATCAATAAATAAATTGGAGAAAGAGGAAAATATGCCCAGACTTGAGATGAATTAAAATTAATAGGCCAATAATTTACATAAGTTAATAAATATGCCAAATTACTGTTTTCGTCCATAACTTGTTTGGTTATGAACCATAACTTGACAAGTTATTCCCGGTTTTTATCCATAACTTGTCTGGTTATGAACCATAACTTAACAAGTTTATCCATAACTTATCTGGTTATAAACCATAACTTGGCAAGTTATGACCTATTAATTTCTATAATTAAAAGTTGGCATATATACTTTCTTAAACTTTTCATATTGGCCTATTTCCTACTATTTTCCTAAATAAATCACACATCATAGTCGCACTTTGGTGTCGAATTCACATGAATTTATAGTTTGGAAGGTTGAGATGTGACGTCTGCAAGAAAAACAATTGTCTATCGCCTTATAAATTTACATAATTTTATGGTCGGACATGGAAAAACATACTATCGGGAGGATTTTATTTTTCGCCAATAAATTTATACCATAAATTGTCTATTCTGTTTTTTTTAATATTATTTTAATCAAATCCGTCGATCAGAAAAGCGCATTACTGCAAAAGGACCCAATTTATATAGAATTCACATGAAATCAAATGAATTGTTGAGATGGGAGATATACAACACCTAAATATGCATCGTGTTTCTCTCGTCCTTTGCCCTTTGAAATGCAAGTGCACCAATAATAAGGGATATGCATTATCTATACTTAGTGATTTGAGTTTGTAAAAACAATTAAATCTTAAATTTTGGATATTCTCAAATTTGTGCTTTTAAATTTAAAATTTATGTCAAATTTATGGGTTCATTTGGTAACGTTTTAAAAATAATTTTGTTTTCAATATAAAAATAAAAATGAGATTATTTTGATAATTAATTTTAAAATTACGTTTAGTTAGTTTTTTAAGAGATTGTTTTGAGTATAATAAAAAAGTGAAATCGTGTTTAGTTATAATTATTAATTAATATATTATAACATTGTTGATAAGTACTAGAAAATAAAAACAGAAAAAGAAAAACAACTTTAAATTATTTTCTAATTTCTTCACAAAAATTATTCTTACTGTTGTAAAGTTACAATGTGTGATCTTATAAGCTTCTTCTTTTCTTTTCTTTTCTTTTTTTTAATGCAATGGTGAGGAGAGAGCTCCTCACTGCTCCTAGGCGATGGTGAGGAGATCCAGAAGAGCTCCTCCACGCAAGCTCCGGTGAGAAAGCTTGGTGGCGGCGATGGCGGCGGCAGCTGACTATTGTATGGGAAAGAGAGAAAAGAAAGAGGAGAACGTGTAAATTAAAAATCCTAATAAATGTATTTAAGGATATTTTAATCCTTTTAGTTGAAATCTTGTTCTGCCACATGGCAAAAAATGAATAGTTTAATCGATCCTCACGTGTCTTTTGTGGCATGCATAGTAACTATTTCAAAAGTATAATTGAGCCAAGCCGTTTTTCTACTTAATTGAGCCTTGACACCTCTAATTATAAGTTACAAAAACTTGTTTAAAATTACAAGAGGAAGAAAGAAATTTGTAATTCCATACACAACGAATTGAAGAAGAAATGAAATAAATAAATGAAGGCACTCGTGTATAGAATGGTCGATAAATTGCAATAAAATAATCTGCAATTTCTACAAAATAAATAAATAAATAAATAAATAAGAAGTCTAACACATATGTGGCACAGACACCATACAACAGATGATCATGTGAAGGATTTAAACAATAAACAATGGAATCTCAAATTTGAGGCTTAATTGATTAGAAATGCATACAATTTAGGAACAACAGAGAGAATACATGGTTAGTTCACATAGTAAATCATTGGGTAAATTACAAAAGTATATCTCGTAATTTCAACTTTTTCTTAGTTTAGCCCTGTATTTTTAGAAAGTACAAAAGAATCCTCTAAATTGGAAAATATATTTCAATTTTATTCTTTTCACAGTTTCTTAGGCAGAAGAACTACTAATCCTTCAAAAACAATGATGTGGTGTTGTTTAAAATATTTTTCGAAACTATTTAAGGGTATTGTTTTGTCTTTTGTCTAATAAAATGCGTGGGGGATGAAATTGAAACATATTTCTCAAATTTAAGGTTATTTTTGCCGTTTAAAAAATAAAGGGGTTTTAAAACTAAAAGTGAAAAAAAACTCTTATGATGTAATTATGCTAAAAAGTAATAGTAAGTTACTTTCTTCAACACTTCTCTTTTCCTTCCTCTTGTATGTCCCAGTGGTTACCTTATATACTCGGGCTTCTGTCTCGCAAAACCTGGCTGAATTTTATGATAACACAAACCAGAAACATGGATATGCAAAAAAATGTATCAGTTGCAGAACCAAGGAAAACTCATACCATAACAGAAAAGGATAATGTCAGGACACTGACTCTAATCCAAATTTTATTGTACACATGTCAATCGTATGTGTTTACAAGATTGTCACGTCAATTGATAATAGGAGATTTCACTTATAAATGAAAAAATTATGTCACTGTTGCGTAAATTGGTAAAAAAAATTATGATTAGAGTTGATGTGTAGCAGTAATCTTTCGAGAATACACACATGTTCTAACTATACGTGACCTTTTAATAATCTGTTTGTTATTATATCCAAAAATGAAGTCGAAAAAGGAAAGAAAGAAATTGAAGAAGAAATTCAGGATACCTGAAGAAGCATGGATGGAGCAGCACCAGATTCAGAAACAATGTGGCTCCTGGTTTTTCTTCCATTTAGTGTGTTGATGGAGGGACTGTTAGCTGTTGTTATGTCCCAAATGCTACGTTTCTTAGCTGTTGGTACCGGTGACCGAAAACGGTGACTCGGGCTCTTCAACTCCACGGTGTTTGCCTCCTTTGGCCTCAAACTAGCCCTTGTCACTACCCTTTTTGTGCCCTGCGATGACACGCCTTCTAAAGGTTTGTCACTCTTCCGCGAAAGCTCGCGAATGAGCTCATCCTTTTTCTTTATCTGCAAAGTGTGATCTTTCTTCATTCTCTCGATTTCAGCTTCCAATGCCTTGACAGTCCTCTGAAGCTCTCTAACACCTGCTTCCTCAGCACCAACTCTTTTCCTGGACTCTGGAGTGAAACAAGTCCCGCTTAAGAATGAGGACCTCAGTCGTCTTTTCTCGGTTGGTTGGGCTGTGGATGGAGGAGTCATCATAGAGGTGACTGAAGAAGGTGTTGGAGAGACGTTTGCAGCCAAGGACTGAGCTTGAAGTGTTATGAGCTTCTGTTGCTGGCGTGCCAATTGCACTCGCAAATCACGATTCTCCTTTTGCAATTCCAGAAATAACTTGGCCTGATCGGTTTCAGATTCAGGCACTTGTTGTATTTCCTCAATCCCGTCACAGGCCTGCCATAAGTTCCGGAATTGTTCATCAGAATTATTTGGAAAGTGAGACAATGCTCTCATAGGGACTTCGATCTAATGAATTAAAAGTTGAACGTAGTTTAACTTTTGACTGTTCTGTTTTTAAGATAAGGCTCTCAGAGGTATTTAATCTAGTGACTAAAAGGTTGAACATAAAACGACTAAATCTTTTTTCTTTTTTTTTTTTTTTTTTTTTGAACTTTCGGGTGGGTGCATTTGAACTCAACACCTTCCGCCGCAATCAAGTGTGGATAACCGCTAGCCTATCTCTGCAACCATCTTTGAATTAAGATAATGTTCTCAAAGGGACATCAGTTTTATGTCAAAATTGAGCTTGGCGTTTAGAATTCATTGAAAGCTATATATAATACAGTTAGAACAACATAGTGAAAACGAAATAAGGCCAAGAATGAAAAACACAGTGAGGATTGACCTTAGTCCTGATTTGCTTGGCCCGATCAGCCCAATGAAGGGTGTTTTGTGTTTCACCAAATGAGAGATTGCTTGGACTGATGTTGGCTATCATTACAGTGTTACAAGCACCACCTAGTGAGTCCTTGAGAAGCTGAGTGAGCTTTGAATTTCTGTAGGGAATGTGCTTCTTACCCTCCACAAGGGCATTGATGCAGCTGCTCAGCGCAAGGAGTGACCGGTTTATGTTGGCACCCTCAAGGGATCTAAGTGTTCTTTGGTCTGTGGCAAGGGCTCTCTCTGACCCTGCAAGATCGATCAGCGAGAGCTTCCCCACTCGGTTTACCACGCTCATCGCATCATCTCTTATTCGGTATTCAACCACAACCTGGAAATCAAAGGGGGGCAAAAAAGACGTATCTTAGTACTTGGACTTGAGTTATTCTATGGACTGTAAAACCCTTGTCTATGTCTGCAATACCTGCAGGATGGCATGGGAACGTGAAGACGTTTCATTGGCGCGAGTTGGTTCTGTGGTGCGGCTTCGGTTTCCCTGTTGGAGCAATGCCATCACCTGCCCAAGGAAAACCAAGTTATGTCTGTTCCCATCAAGTTAATAAGGGAAAAAGAAGTAGAGGGAAAAATTTACTTCATCTGTGGAGTAAGCTCTGTATTGTGTAAGACCTGCTGCAACGATCCCCTACGACAAGTATTCAACAAACTTTCCTTGATTAACACAATGAGGCTAAAACTCACTAATCCAAGCTTTTTGAACGTGAATTTGGTGTTGGGATGTTATTTTCAATGCAAATATATGTGACTAATATAACAACAACAACAACAACAAAAAAAACTTTTTGCAGACCTGTTTGTCTTCTCTTAGAACCAAAGGCCTTCCAGGTGAAAGCAAATCCCTAACAGTTTCATTATAGACCTCAAGATAGGAAAGATGAACTACATGGTTTCCATCACAACTTCTTTGCCTTATTTTTCTGAAGAGATCCTTGATTGCCAAAACCATTACTCCTGGATTCTCCAAAGTACCCAGCATTGTGTATGTTTTCCCAGCTCCTGTGGCCCCATAGCAGAACACCGATCCATTCCTCCCTTGCAGAACTGCTTCCACGAGCTCCGCGGTTCTGAAAATTCAAATTAAGAATACTCTTTTTCTATCAAAGTTTTAACCATTGCTAGTTTGAAGCAGAAGAAAACACTCAAATCTGCTTGTTGGGATACCACTTATCAGGAAATATCTCTTGGGACTGGTATTAGCAGTTAGCACTAGATAATTGATATCATTCTTTTGCTTTGTGGACTAAGAATCTAGACTTTTTTTTTTTTTTTTAAAAAGTTTTGATTTCCATTAAGGTTCATTACTTTTTTAGTTTGCTAAGAAACAAAACTGCAACCTATAAGGAGAAAGGACCAAATGGTAAGAATCAAGCAAACACAAATACTCTGACCCAAAAAAAAGGTGAAAATTTGATCAACTAAAAAGATAACAAATTACTAATCCCCAACACAAAATATTGAACATTTTTGAAGATTGGGCCAAATGGTACGACTAATCAATCAAATCAAACACAAACTCTTGGACCAAAACCAAAAATGGTAACAATTTCATCACAACAACCATAAGTTGAAAAGCAACTAAAAAGACAAACAAGTTACTAATAACAAAAAAATTGAAGATTGGGCCAAATGGTACGACTAATCAATCAATCACAAACACTTGGACCAAAAACAAAAATGGTTAACAACTTGATGACGACAACCCATGTTCAAAATTCACTCAAAACTCTAAAATATTTTCAACAATTCACTAAACATCAACCAAAAAATTGTTAAGAATCTACAAATTACACTAAACTCACGTGGTGGAATAGACTTGTTGCTGAGAAGTGGTGTCCGGAAAAGAAGCATCAAAGGTGAAATGCCTCCCACGGAGCCTCTTGAGCCTGAGATAATCATTGTCATTTGCAAATTCCGTCAGATAAACATCTCTTCTATTCACAATCCTCACACAACACCTCGAACCCGCCTCCTTCTCCTTCTTCCCCATCGGCCTAAGCCTCACGAACACCAAAATCCGACTCTCTGGCGATCTCCTCGAAACGCCCTCAGCCTTCTCCAATTCTTGAACAACATTCCTTTTACTAATCTTTCCCTCCAAATTCCCCAGCGAGAGCTTCCTTGCCACCGTGGTCGCCGCCTTTCTAGGCCCCACGGTGGCGAAGCCCAGGATTCGTTCCCCGCCGTAGATTTCAAGATTCTCCTTGGCTTCATCGTGAGGCAAGATTCTCTTCCTCTTTATCTTCTTCTCCTCCTCCTCCTCTTTTTTTCCAGAACCCAGAAGGTCAACGCTTGGGTGCGTCGTGAAACGCTGCTCGGACTCCGAAAAAGACTGGTTCTTGAGAGCTAAGGAGGCTCGCTTTTGTTGCTCGTATAAAAGGGTCAAAGCTCGCATCTTTTCCTTCAATCCATGGTGTGGGTTTCTTAAGGGATTGATATTCGTGTTGTTGTAGTTCTCTTCTTCTTGGCTCTGTTCATGGTTGGTGATCTGAGACCGAGTTGAAACGGGCATTCTAGTTTTTTTTTTCTTTCTTTTTTCTCGCTATCCAAACATGCCCAGAAATTTTTCTTGCAGACCCAGATGAGGAAACAGCTCAAGTCTGAAGCTATTCTTTCTTTTCCTTTCCTTTCTTTTCTTTTCTTTTCTTTTGTTTTTTCCCGGAAAATGTGCAGAGTGAGAGTATGGTGAAGAAGCTGAAGTGAACAGAGGAAGATCCAGAATTGTGAGTGTGATGATCTGGGTATTAAATGTGGAAGGAATCTGGGCCGTTGGATTGTGGGAAATGGACGGTTGGTAGTGAAGCGGGGGAAATATGGTTTTTGAAGAGGAATTTATTTTTGGGGCACTCTACCTTCTGCTTGTTGCACATTTGAATGTTGGACGAGAAAGTGGAGTGGAAGAATAAAAAAGATGGGAGTTTTATTATTTTTTTTAAATGAAGATTTTGAATTGTTTATTTGTAACGGTCGAAATGTTGTCAGATACGAACGTTTAGCTACTGGGGGAGAGAGAGGATTTGAGGAGAGATGTGGGGCCCACTTGGTAAATTCCATGTTGCACGAGAAGACCCTCTTCTTTTTGCAAGTGAAATAATTAAAGCAATAATCTTCTTTTATAAAGTGAGCAAAGTTGGATTTGTCCATTCCATGATGGTCGCCCCTGATGTGTGGCTTCCATTTTACTCTCTTGAGTTAGCTGATTAAAGGTTAATTCATTTCACCGATTTGAGTTTTCAGTTTTAAGTTTTTATAGTAAAAAGTTTTTAAAAAATATAACATCTAACTTTTTTTGCTACAGTGAAAAGTTCTCAAAAAATGTCACATCTCAGTTCGAATTAAAAACTCGAATCCGCGAAGTGAACGAGGCTTAAATTACACTATAGTCTCGTTCATTACACCAATTTAAATTTTCAATTTTAAATTTTTTATAGTTAAAATTTTTTTAAAAAATATCACATCTAACTCTTTTTGTTACAGTTAAAAACTCTCAGAAAATGTCACATCTTAATTCAAATTGAAAACTTAAATCCGCGAAGTAAACGGGGCCTGATTACAAAAAAAAAAAAAAAAAAAAGTGAGCAAAGCAAGCTGTCGTTTATTATTCAGCTCAAAAAGAAAACAAGGGAAAAAAGATGTCGTTTAAGGTTTGTTAAGAGGGGGGAATATGAAAAGGAGTGCACTTGCTTGTGCGGTATGACATGATGTGGAGATGTCAGATGGGGAATATATTAGGTGCGTTTGAAATTTAGTTTAAAATAATTTTTATTTTTTGTATAAAAGTAGAAATAAAAACATTTTTAATATCAAATAAAAATTATTTTTAAAAATGTGTTTGGTAGTTTTATTAAGAGATTATTTTCAGTATAAAAAATCTATTAATGTCTCTCTCTCTCTTGAGAGGAGAAAACGGAAACAAAAAATGAAAAACGATTAAAAGTCATTTTTTATTTCTCTCTCATTTTACACTAAACTAAAAAATCATTTTCATTTTTATTTTTTGTCTTTAATTGTGTCAAATACCGTTTCTCTCTCGTTTTCATTTTTTTTCTCAAAAAACGTAAAAAAACAAAAACAAAAACAACTCTAAACACAACAATTATCTTCCAAAGATCAAGCGGCTCGAGTGGATAGAATGGTGTTATTTTCATAGTTCGAATCACGATTTAATTTTTTTACTACGTAAAAAGTTAAATTTTGATATTAAAGACCCTATTCATTTCACCGATTCAAATTTTCAATTTCAATTTCACTACAGTTAAAAACTCTCGTAAAAAGTCACATCTAACGTTTTCTGTTACAGTACAAAATTCTCACATAAAATCACATCTCAACTCAAATTAAAAACTCGAATCAACGAATTAAACGAGGCCAAAGTTTGTTTGATAAGAGAATTCTTCGGGTTTGAACTTATGGGTTTAATAAAACCTTCATTTGTGATTTTAAAAAATAGATTTAAGTTGAATTCTGATGGGACATTTGAACATACTTTAACTCTAAAAATGAAAACTCACTCCCCTTTTGGGTTTTGTCTATTTGAACCCATATAGTTTTAATCTTTTTTTTTTTTTTTACACACATTCAAACAAAAGTTAAAATTACATAGTCAAATCCTACAAAGCCTCACACATAGTTCAAACCCTAAAAATTTAAGACATAATTGAACCTGCTTATTAAATGACCCTCTCGAACTTATAAAAAAAACTGGCATAAAAATGATCCTTCAAAAATGAATGAATGGACAACAGAAAGAATAAAAAAATCAAAATAAAAAATAAAAGCTCAGCCACCAAACACAATTGTTTTGTTTTCCTTCGAAAAATCACCAATCAAGTGTTAAGGGACTATACTGTCAAATTACTATAGTAATAATTTTCTCTTATAATAATTTGTTGCGAGTGAACATGATTTGCATTGAGGGCATAACTAGATTAATATACAATATATTGGTAATAATTTTCTCTCATAATGATTTTTTGCGAGTGAACATATGAATACATTGAGGGCATGTTTATGATGGCTTCTGCTCCAATGAATTCTATGCATTTTAAGATAACTATAAAGCAAATATCAAAGTCAATAATATATTTAACACTAAAATTTTTAGTGAAAGCAACACATTTAATATCGTATACATTTTATGTTCAAATACATAAAGTTATTTCAAATGTTATATTTACACTTTGTCATAATTATTATAAGAAGAAAGGAGACAAACGACCTTAGAGAGCAAGTTTAGATTTTTATCCTTCACTTTTAATTAATATATTTTTTAATCAAATAATTAGTTTATTAATAGGATATTAAATAAGAGTAAAATGTAAAAATTCATATTCATACATTTTAATACTAACTGAGCAATTTTCTCTTATTATAATGATTCGTGATAACGCTGGAGCTGCTTTGGGTGATATGGCAAAAAGATTCATTGGTGAGCTCTCCCTTCACACTATCGTAATTATTGAGAAGAATGTCATTTGTGTGACATCGAAAAAAGAAATCACTTTGGTGAGGAAGCCCCCATTCTCTCTAATGTTGATTTAATAAGGCCCTGTTCATTTCACCGATTCGAGTTTAGAATTCGAGTTTTGTTACAGTAGAAAGCTCTCAGAAACAGTCACATCTAACTTTTTTACTACAGTAAAAAGCACTCACATAAAATCACATCTCAACTCGAATTAAAAACTCGAATCAGCGAACTAAACGGGCCCTAAGAAACCGATTTCTTTCTATTCCTTTCTTAAACCCCTATTCATTTTTAGGGTATTATAGAATTCCCACTACTTACCTAACATGAGTCTCATTACAAATAAAAGATTAAAAAGGTTGATAAAAGAGCTTTTTAATTTGCTGTTCGAATCAGGTTTTTCTTTAATAATAATAACAATACATCAACTAATAACAGTTAAATGGAAGATTTTGTAATATATTTGGTACGAAGCGTATTTCCAAGCAACGGCGGATTTTATTTTTTTATATAATCTTTAAATATTTGTGATTTTCTCGTTTTGTCTCATTGATATACAATTTTTTCATATATACTCCCACTAAATTTTAAATTTTTTTATGACTTTAAAACAAAAATTTAGCATATGCCTCCATTACTATAGAAGTCTAGTTCTGCCATTGTCTCCAGGGTAAATATTGTAGGATGTGGGATTGTTGCAAACTCCAGAATATCGTAGGTGTAAAACTAAAAGTCAGGACTTAAGATAAATCATTATTGAAACAAATATAACTTAAATTTTCTAGCATGTTTTTATATTTTGCCAACTGTATAACTTGTTTTTTATTCAACCATATTTACATCTATGGCTCATTTAATTCACTGATTCGAGTTTTTAATTTGAATTGAGATGTAATTTTATGTGAGAAATTTTTACTGTAACAAAAAAATTAAATATGACTGTTTTTAAGAATTTTTTATTATAATAAAATTTAAATCGGTGAAATGAATACACTCTTTATTTTTTAAAAAATATTAATAGATTTTGATAGATTCCTTGAGCGATCTTCGTTTGTCAACTTTTTTTAGATATCGTCAGCTCCCTTAGGCTTCCTTACTAACATCTATCCACCAAAAGTGATTGCAGGGTACAAGGCCTAGATTATAGGCATTCTTTTGCTCCATTCATTAAATCCTAAACGTCCATTTTGATCTTTTGACTATAATTTACCCGCAGGACTAAAACGACAAACAGTTCTTGTGGGACCAAAGACTATGCCTATATACATATACAATTTTGTTAAATTTTTTATAAGAGAAAAATACAAAATTAAAAATCATGATCAATTTATCGATTTGAGTTTTTAATTTTAGATTTTTATAGTAAAAAGTTCTCAGAAAATGTCACATCTAATTTTTTCTGCTACAGTGAAAAGCTCTAAAAAATGTCACATATCAACTCGAATTAAAAACTCGAATCTGTAAAGTAACCGAGGCATTAAAACAAATATAACTTAAGGTCACGTTCATTTCGCTGATTTGAGTTTTGTTACAGTAAAAAATTCTCAAAAATAGTCACATTTAATTTTTTTACTACAGTAAAAAATTCTCACACAACATCACATATTAACCCGAAGTAAAAACTCGAATTATCAAACCCCGAACGGCCTAAATTTTATCATTTCCACCTAATTTTTGTGGCGGCCCGCGCCCTCGCGGCGCGGTTGCCGTTCCTTATACTACTACTAATAGGCTAAGTTATAGTCTAATCCATTATTTGTTGTTAGACTATTGTCTCTTTAATTTACGTTCATATGCGGGTAAATTTTTTTTTTCTTTACTTTAACCCTCGGATTCTTAACATATTATGTTGTTACACTAATATCATATCTTGCTATTACTTTAAGGATTCGGATGTCAAACTAGTGCCCGAAAACTTGTCTTAACTTATTACAGTCCGTTGTTCTTTACTAAGACAATGGTTGTAATATCTTCTTCTTAGAACTGAACATACATACTAGTATTCTATATTACATTACTTTGCAGCGGAATTTAATCTCTAAGCGAGCGTAGTAAAGACCACTCCCGTGTACCCATGACATTTCCGCCACCCTTGCCTCCGCCTGTCCATCAAGCAAACCACTATATGACTGGCTACTTACCTTTGTTACCTGCACACGAGTAAACTGATGAGCTAACGCTCAGCAAGTATAAACATGCAAACATCATAAACTAATAAAAATTACATTAA